TTTTGCCGATGGGCCGATGCCGATTGTTATACTTAATGGCCATCAATAAAATAAAATCTTTAAAAAAAAACTTATTTTTTAAAGCATTAACAGAATTTTTTTACAAACATAAAAAAGGAAAAATAAACATTCTGAAAAAAATATATAAAATTTAAAATTTAAAAAAGAAACAACTGTATATTTGTAGTCAATAATTATTAGTGGTAAATTTTTGTTTATTATCTAAAATAGTTGGATCGGCACCATCGGCATATATTTTCGACGATGCATCGCGATGGCTGATGCCGATCCATCGGTCGAGTCCTAATAATTTAGACCAATCAAAAAATTCGACTACCGTCAGATCTATTTAATCTCACTTTCTACTTTTAATAATTATTATTATATAATTATTATTATTATTATAATTGTACGTTTTATGAATTGTTTAGCAAATAAAATTATGCCTTGAAGATAAAATGTTGAATGTGCTTGGCTCAATTGTACGCCTCGGCATACAAACTTTGAGCTCAGCACTAAGAATCACTTATCCGCTTTATGACATAAATAACTATGTATAACAAACGGATTACAATAAGTACTAACATTTTTTTTATTGCAAAAATTATTAAAACTATAAGATATATCCAATATTATTTCATCAAAGTCGTTACCCTGTTTAACATCGTAAATGATCATCGTTTGCCTGTACAGTTGGCCACAGCTAGGAAAGACCTTACATATTTTTTTATATTCGTCGTTTTAGAAAATATATCAGTCCATTTTATAACAAGCCCATGGGCAGGTCTTTAACTTGCATTATTTCATCTTCTAGGTGGTAGTCGAGATCACCTTTATAAATTTCGATTAAGCTTAAATATCTTTTTTATTTCATTTGTGGTCATGGCTAATAGATTATTTAAAAAAAACGAATACTTTATTAATGTCTAGGTACGATTATTTCCTTCGTGACACTTCTGTTTTGAGTTTGTATATTATTTTCGCTAAACTCAATACTTGTCTCATTAAACTGCTTTATATATCAGTTATAACTGTTATTTGTACATAGATGTTGATTGCCTCAGATTCGACTGTATTAAAATCGTCATTTAAAGTAACAACAAAGCTTCATTGAATCTTTCCAAAATTCTCTTCCAAAAACACGTCATAATAGCATTTTTAAGATGGCTCAGTTTTTCATTTAAATTTCTTGCTTACAATTCTGTATTTTATCGTCTAATATTTTCTGAACTATGACCAAGTTGCAAATTTTATAAAATTTGATGCCACAAGCCAGGGGTTTTCTGGCTTCTGCGTTTATACGCTATTGCACTACAGCGTTTTAAAATAGTTTTTTTTGAAGGAATTTTAGTAATTAGTAATTAATCTCTATACACTAATTTTCGACATCATTTCCCAAACCCATTATTGGAATATCTGTTTAAACATAATTAATGTAATTAACAACCAGGCCAATTTACTAATACGAGTCGTTAACGTTAGCCACTAGAATTAGTGGTTATCGTTATATTTAATCGGCCTGATTGGTTGGATCGGCCGATAACCACTGATTCTAGTGGCTGACGTTAACGACTTATGTTAGTGAATTGCCCTGATAAATAACTTTTAAATTAAATTATACTTACCTAAACTTAATAAATGTAAGTATAAAAAGTATTACTTATACATACATTACATTACATTACAATACGATTAATTAAAAAAAAAAACATTGAAAGTAAGTATGTTGCAATATTGAACACATTCGACAGTCCCTGGTAGAAACAAACCTAATATATTATATTGTTCAGTGGCGGCTCGTGATCAGTCGAAGTAAGGGGGCTAATAAAGTGCAAGTAATGTAAAAAAAGACGCGTTAGCCAATTAAAAAAACTAGTCTGAAATGTTTGTGGCGCCAAGAAAAGACAGTTAATATAACTTAAAAATACAAGTAATACCTAAAGAAGAAAACAAGCCATTCTACAATATGCCTATATTTTAATTACTTTAAATTTGTCCGTCTTTATTCAAAATAAAACACCACAAAATGTAACCTAATGAAACGACACAGTCCTAAAGACTCATTTAAACTGACAAAGTGCCTGATAAATTAAGCATCATCATACTATGATGATCATATATGATTATTAGTGTTCTAATGTAGCTTAACAGATTATCGTCATAAATTGCGACACAGTCTGTGCCCGAGTCGTGTTAGGTCGGTCGAGGTCGTGAGAACTTAAAGAATACATTTTTTAGCAACGGAATCTTCGGACGCTTAGCCTCCTCTGTGACGTAGTTCACTATATATAATCCGGTTATGAAGCGCGCGGTTCAGTATTTTCATTTATTAGGTACCTACGAAAATATATCATTTTAATAATAATTATGATTGAAAATTGAATTACAATTTCACTAATTAATCACTAAATAGTTATTTAGTTGAAATATAATACATATTTAAATAAGTATAGGTTTAAAATTTTTGGGGAGGCTAAGCCTTCCTTAAATTAAATTTGATTAACATATTTACGCAATTTAAAGCAAACGTGCGCATATTCTACCGTATCTATGGCCGCATGCGTTCACTAAATGTGTAGCTTCATATTAAAAATGTGGGTAAAAATACAAAAAGATCACTAACTTTTTTATTTATTTTTTATGTTAAGTAAAAAACGAAGTTAAATTTATACGAACTGTAACATCCTTAAAAATTTTAAATATGTTAACACAGCATTTATGTACAATTTTATGTCGAACATGTGACTGTCATTAATGTTGTTTTATTGCAAAAAGAAAATGTATGTTAAGAATATACTTTAAATGTTAAAATTCATCTTTGCTAAAAATATTCCTCTCATCTATCGCAATGTATGGCTTAAGGTGTGAAAAACTCGATACTTATTTCAAATCGAGTTTCACATTCGTTTTGTTTTTATCTGATGGCATAATTCCAAACGATGTTCCGAAGCAATAAGATTTGATGTCTAGTTTGTAATTAAAGAGAAACCGACTAGACAGACGGGATTTTCCTTCGGGTCTTGGAAGCGTTTAAAAAACAACATCGCCGTCCAGTAATAGCGAACAAGCACACATGCTAAGGAATTCAGTCACATCCGCTGAAAGGAACAGTACTAATTGACTGGATCAACCTGAATGAAAAAACATTAAACAGAAAATAACTTACAAAACACAGTACCTACGACATAAAATTGTCAACGAGCTAACAAAATTGTTAATCAAAATAATAATATTTTTAGTAAAAATATTAATAATTCGTCAAGAATCGTCTAAAAACTAGAACGTGGAAATTCATACAATTGGGAAAAAAGTTATCTCAAAAATAGATATTAAACTGTGCTAATACAAGGTACTGGGAGTGCCCCAAGGGCAGAGCTGGCCAAATACTGAGTACTTTTACTCGTATTTCAATTACGACATAAGTATTTTTCATTTGAAATACTTATACTCGTACTTACAAATCAAATTCAATGTACTCGTAAAAAATACTCGTGGAATTCTCGAGTAATACGATATAAAGTATACGATTTTTTCCGTTTATTATATCGATGACTTTTTGCCAAAATATCGTAAACATTAAAACATTTTTTTTGGAAGTCTGTTTTAAATTTTATAATATAATAATAGTTATTTATGTATTAAGGGCATAATAAGGTTTTTATGGTTCGAGGCGCTATTTCGAGCCCGAGCGCGTTAGCGCGAGGGCTAGAAAAGCGTCGTAGGACCATAAAAACCAGTTATGCCAGCAATGCATACAAAACTTTATGCACGATTAATATATTATTATTTTTAATATATTATTGTTTTTAAAGACGTTTACGTCAAAGAATTTTTGTTATAATTGTCATATTATAATGTCAACTGACATCAGTCAGTTTTAAAGTTTAAAGATGAATGAAATTGAGAAAGCAGCTGAAAAGGCGAAAAATTGCGGCCTGCTTCCGGAAAAATCAAAATCTTTATTCGAAAAAACTTACTTCGAATATATCAAATGGTGTAACATTATTGTTTTTAATTTTTGACGTTTCATTATAGTCCGCTGGGTCATAATAACGCCCGCGGGCTATAAAAAGACGTTTACGTCAAAGAATTTTTGTTATAATTGTCATATTATAATGTCATCGTGCATAAAATATATTATAGCCTATAGGTTTTATAACAAGTATATAGGTAAAATTATAAACTATTTAAGAATTGTTATTTTTATTTATTATTTTATGTACCTAATTTAAAAAAAAAATAATTTTATAAATTTGTATTTTTATAGCTCAGGACCAAAGTATTTATAATGTATAAAGAATAATCAATATATTAAGTAACATTTTTTTTCAAAAGTACTCGTACTCTTTACTCGTGTTTTCACGATTACTACTCGTAACCGTAACCTCTCTTTACAAATGTACTTACGAGTAAAGTACTTCCGAGTAAATATTTTAGGTACTCGTAACTACTTACAATTTTACGAATACTTTTTTTAGTACTCGTGCCCAGCTTTGCCCAATGGTCAATTTTGGGACCCTATCAAGTCAGTTTAATAAAGTAGTATTGTACGCAGATGATATAAACAAAGATTAAATGATGATTTACTGATTCACATGTTTTTAACCGTTTGGCAAGTCAAATAAATTTAACCACATTATATTCAAACTCACATTTAAAATTTTACAAATTAATAAAATGTACTCTATTAAAATGACTAATTGTCATAGTAACAGAGCAGCTACTGATTTCTGATTCAGCGGACAATTTTACATAGGAATTGACTGTTAAGTGTTTGGGATACAAATTGCTGTAGATTTAGAGTTATGAGGGGCTGCTTTTTCACTATGAAAATTAGTAATTTTTGACCAATTAATCTTAAGAGACTGGGAATATTAATTAATTATCCTCATCTTCCTCCTCTTCTTCATCTTCTTCCTCGGCATCGGTAAATTCTGTTTCAGTAGTGAAATCTGTAGTAAAATCTGTTGTAGTTGGCATTTCTGTTTCTTCTTCACTACTTTCTTCGTCCATGATTTCCTCGTATTTTTCTTTTTTTACTTTCAACGCCAACTCTTGTTCGTCAATCGTCACGAATTCCTTGTTGATTCTCTTTAGCTCCGGCAGAAGTACCAGCAAAGCTAAGAAAAATATTTGCCAGATTATAACTGAATCTACTATAATTTAGCCCTTGTGGGGCCCAGGTAGACAATTTTTTGGGCGGCCCCTTACCTAACAAAAAACAATACATTTATGACGCAATAATAACATTTGTTGTATAGTATATTGTGTCTCAAGGGCAGAAAACTAGCTTTAGCAGCCCGCGGCTATTAAATGCGCGAGCGAGCGAAGCGATATGAGTTTAGCGACCCTAGGGACAATAAATATTATTTTCGGTCATATTTTTAGGTTTTATGATTCATTTTTATATGTGCTGGGCGAAAAAATCAATATAGCCCCGCATATTATATATAAAAAAAATCAGACAGCTGTTAGTTATTTCGAACCTCACTTTTTTCCAACTTAAACCCGATTTGTTTAAATCATTCAATATTGAAATCGGATAATCACTAATGTCTAACAACGTAAATAATGACTTAATTATCCATCTTGTTAGGCGTTTGTTACCATTATATACGAAAAAATCCAAATGTCAATAATATGAATTATGACTTCTGCCATAGGAGTAGAAAATATTCTATTATGTATAAAGTTTTATAAACGCCATTTTAGTTACGAGAGCGATGCTTGCAGCGAGTGTTTAATAAAAACGTGTGCCTACAGAAGTGCATATATGCACTTTATTTGCGACGAACTCATAAAAGAACTCATTTGTTGATCATCTGACAACTGTCACCCGGATTTAACCTTACTCTTTTCCAATTTATAATAAATCCAACATCAGCCCGTGACTACAAAGCTTAAATCCCATTGTTGCTAACCTCAGCCCGAGACTAAAACGCTATAAAAAACTAGTCAATGTAGGAGTAGATAAGGGTATTTTATTAAATTAAATATGGTCGAATTTTACTTCCTCTTTAAGATACAGGGTGTTAAAGTTAAAAATGTTTGGATTTTATTTAATATTCTCTGAAATATAAAGGACTTCTATATCTAAAAAAATATATCTAGAAATTTTTTTTTAAGTATTTTTGTTTTTAAATAATACACCGGGTGACAGCTTCGAAATTCTAAAACGTCACACATGACAAAATTGTAATTTAAACATGACAACATTGCAATTGCTTCCAACTAAAGTTGTTTAAAATGCATTCAAACATTCAGACTTCGTTTTATACATTTAGTATTGGTACCAGTGCGCAAAATTATGACGTCATCGATGACGTCGTTTCCTTTTAAATGTACTATATTTTAAAACATAATCTAACCTAACCTACAAATAAATACCAAAAATTAATTATTACCTATTCTTCTAGGATCTATTTTTACTTTTTCATCCTCTTCTCCCATAGCTTCATCCTCATCATCATCATCTCCACCACCACCACCTCTTTTATCTTCACCCTTAATTAGTTCGTCCTCACCCCAGACAGGATTCCCAAGTATTATAAGAGTATTTAAATGTTTAAGATATTGCAGTTTTCGAAACTGCCTCATTTTGTTTATGTGATTGTTTCGCAAATTTAAATAATTCAAATAATTTAAAGATTGTGTTTTAAAACCATCCAGTTTTCTGATAAAGTTGTTTCTTAAGTGTAAAACCTCCAAGCTTTTCAATTTGGATAAATCGTCAATATTAATTTTAGTTATCTTATTGTTTGCCATATACAACTTTTCTAGTTTTAAAGGATAATTACCAGCAAAATCCAACAGATGATTTCCTAAAAAACAATGTTTTAATTAATTAATATCATACTGTTATTAAATTGGTTGATTACAAAATTACGTATAATACAAATTTCATAATTTTTTGTTCTCATACCTCTTAGCTCGAGTATTTTTAAACCCTCCAATCTTTCGACATCAAACTGAGCCGTACATATCAAATTATGGTTTAAATCCAAAGTATCCAAGAGCGGTTGATTTATATCGCACGTTTCAGTGATTTGATTTTTGCTTAAAACCAGCACTTGTAAGTAAGGCATCATGCCTAGAGCGGCAGATTCGATTTTGTTATTCGCTGCTTTGATCAGTATCACGAAAGGCATGTCTACCAACACCTGGAGGCTCTCCAGAGTTAGGTAGTTGATGCTCACATCCAAGAACAAGATGTGTTTAAAGTTTAAGATTACCGATACGTCCGTGAGTTTTTTACCGCTCACGTTTATCATCAGATAGGCGTACCTAATTCCGCTCTCGTCTTTACCCAGCACTCCAAGGCATTTAGATGCTTCTTCAAAGGTCAGTTTTTTTTCTTTTATAACTACCTCAGGAAGAAAAGTGACCGGTGAGGTATCATCAGGCGGGGGGGAACCTTCGCCTTTAAGAGGTCTTTCTTCGCCTTCTCCCAATATGTCTGACATTATTTTGATGGACTGTCACAACATGTATACTAAATATTCATCTTTCATGCACTAGATTTTATTTTAAAAGTAATCATCAAATCGTCGGTCTCCTTACGTTGTGGCGTAACTGACAAAAATTGAGATTTTGAGATACGCTGCCTTAGGTATCATTTTGGGGTGCTTTTTAACCTCACCAAGTAGCGTAACTGTATTTCTAATAGTTTGCTTGCAATGCCATTACTAAAATATGGCGTAAGTGCATAAACCCTAAAAGTGTTTCTCACGTATTGGCGTAAACTAATTTACGCCTTTAAGCCGTGTCACTTTTTTGGTCCATTTTAACTGAAACCAATGTGCGCACGCGTTCGGGAGGGAACATCAAATTAACCTTGAGAATTTCATAACCTCAAATAATATTATTATTCGTAAATTGTGTGTGGTGGAATAAGACATCTAATTATTGATAATTTGAATAAAGAACAAATTAAAATTTCCAGAAAGAAATATGAAGATTTAACTGCTCTTTGTAAACCATCTGGCAAAAACAAAATAGCGGTATACATTATAATACGCACACCCGAACTTCAAAACTTCTTTTACTCTTTGCCGCACGAAGAAGACAAAAAAGAATAGTGCTGTTTTTCCTTGTTCCAAAAAAAAATAGTTTTAAACTGTTTGCATTTTTTTTAAGATTGAATATTTTTTTTTCTTTTTTTATTAGCCGTTGTAAAACATTTTTTCTAATTTCATTATTTATCACAATAAACTGGTTTAAAAGTATAATATTATGAATCTATATCACTTTCCCTACACCACAATCCATTGTGCCCTACACGATCTTATAGGCTTAAGTGTAAACATAAAAAAAATATATTTTTACAAATTGACGTATCTGTATAAACATGTTTTTTACTTGCAAGCTGATCAGATAATAATAAAAATGTTATGCTTAAAAGAAGCCGGAATAGTTGAACATTTTGATAAAAAAAAACAATTTGGGCCACCTTCAGTAGTAACAATTGGACACCGATATAATTATGCTCCATTTTCGTTTTTTGCGTCTATTAGAAAATTTGTGAAAAGCTAGTTACGCCACTACATAAGGAGACCGACGAAATGTTCTTTTTTGTTTTTGTATAATTATATATAAATCTATAGATTCTATAGATTCAAGTCAATTTAATATATTAGGCAAAACAAACGAAGATAAGGAGATATACACCAGCTGGGACTTTAGTGTGAAAAAACCTTAGACATTATTTTTTTATATGTCCATAGAATACACTAAAAACATAAATATCACGCGTTTAAAAAAAAAATGGTACCTATTGCAGAAAGTCTCACACCCAAATAGTTTTATCTTGGGCTAAAACTTTTACAATATGTATACCTAATTGTGTATGTTTTGTACGAAATTGATTCAATTAACGTAGACAAATGTTTTATTTACTATATCTCGTAGTTATTAAAATTTATAAAGTTTCTTTTACAATACAATTTACCTATATGGTTTTCCCATTTTAGGGGCTAATTAACCTCTGTACCTAAATATTATTAAATTACTATATCTCGTAGTTATTAAAATTTATAAAGTTTCTTTTACAATACAATTTATATGGTTTTCCCATTTTAGGGGCTAATTAACCTCTGTACCTAAATATTATTAAATTAGTTTTAAGTGAGTTTAGACTTAATAATATTGGGTTTAACCATGCATTAAAATATTTTTTGTGTAGCCAGTTCAGCTTTTAAGAACATTCCAAGACTAACCCTTAAGCTCGCCCTTAAGAAACACCACCGTATCATACACATATGATATTAACTTACCATTTATTGGTATATTTTCTAAAAAATTAACATACCTAATTTTAAAATAAAATGCAATACTGTCCCTTGAAGCACACCCATAAAGACGGGAAGAGGATCACTAAGATCCTTAGGTAAAATTTTATTTTACACCAAATATGAGTCAAAACCGAAAATAGACTCGATGCTAGATAGAATATTAATGTCAACAGTATTTTTAGTAAAATGTGTTTAAGCAACTCGCTTATGCCATTTTAAAAGCCCAACTGGCTTTTGCTTACTATTTCATTTTTTGATTAAAAAGTTGTCAAACGAGACTAAACAATGTTCATATACATATGAACTTTGTTGTATGACGCGTTAAGAACCATAGAACGCACAATATTTTATATTGGGACATTTTGTCCTAAAAGTAGTAAGTCATTTTATAACAAAATATCCCAACATTTTGTGGGTTAGGCCCATTTTGGTTCTCAACGCCTTATATATTTGTAAAGTTCTTAATAAGTAAAGCAACATATCACTTAAATGAAAATTGTCCATCCCTATGAGTATTTCAAAACTCCTAATTATAATATTTTGTAATAACGGTTGATTCATTTAGACCTTTTTTTTAAATTCTAAATAAAATGCATAAAATGGAATTGGATGGTGGAATCTTTATTATGACCTGAAAGAACAATCTTTGACATTTATTTTTTGAAAATAATTTCATTCGGAAGGTCCAATTTTCGATCACTCTTTCTAGCATTGCGACCGATATCTGCCCAATTACGCGAGTAATGTTGGCCTCTTAGTCCTGAATCGTAGCTGGATTATCGATGAAGACTTTTGATTTAACAAGACGGAGCTACGGCACACACAGCGCAGGAAACAATAGCTTTATTGAGAAATCATTACTCGGGAAATTGGGCAGATACCGGTCGCAATGCTAGGAAGAGTGATCGAAAATTGGACCTTCCGAATGGACCACGCTGTACGCGGCCAGCATTTAAATGAAATTATTAAAAAAAATGTCAAAGATCGTTCTTTCAGGTCATAATAAAGATTTCGCCATCCAATTCCATTTTATGCGTTTTATTTAGAATTAAAAAAAGGTCTAAATGAATCACCCTTTATATGTATATTGTACATATATTCTGTTAATTATTTCATTAAACAATTGTTTGCATAAATTTTTTATTAAGTTATATATATAACTTAATAAAAAATTTATGCAATATTGCATCCAATTTTTGATTTTTGCAAAAAGAAAACAAATAAAATCAGTGATTTTCTAAAGTAGGTGGGTACTTAGTTATAAAAGGTCAGTGTGTTAAATATATTACCTAAACATTTCTCTCGCGTGAAAATTAAATTTATATGTAATATTACATATGTATAAAACATACTTTATACTATATAAATTTGCAAAATACTAGATTTACATTTTTCAATTTAAACACTTAAGTGTTTAATTATTAATCAATATGCCCAATTTAAATAGCCTTAAGGTGCAGGTCACTAAATTTCCAACGGTACTAGCCATCTGTTAAAAAACAAATTATTAAATCCGCTCCCGTTAATTTTTTAAAATGATTGACCTCATACATGCATACATAGGTAAATAGCAAATATATCAACCTAGTAGGTAGTACTTACCCAACAAAGTATCCTATTATGTATTAACTAGATGCATTTTTTGTTTGCATTATTAGAAAATAATAATTCGCTTTTATTCAAGAATGCTGTATTATGAAGGTTGCGCATAATAATCATACACTTTAAATATATTATATAGTCAATTATATAAGACAAGTATCTAAGTAATTATTAAAAAATGATTTTTCTATTGCAGAATTCCATAAAGAAACTGAAAAAAATGTCATCAGCCATATGTCAGAATTTCGTGCAGAACGCATGGAAAAAGGAACTTTGTTCCAACTGCTTCAAATCCAAGGATGAGCACTCCCCAAGGCCCAGGCCAAAACCCATTTCCTTAAATCCCAACAAAAAATTGGAAAGTATAATAAAACATACGACAAAATCTAAACCTAAGCGAACAGTGAAATTTCCTATTGAACTGAGTAAAGTTATTGGTTACGGAGGTGAAGACTGGGAAGATGATTCCGAAGAAGATAATGCGGATTCAGAGTCCAGTGAAAATAGCGAGGAAGAGTGTGTGGTTGAATCCGACGAAGAAATTAAAGAACTAAAAAGAATAACAAAGGAGAATACTGATTTTAACACAACGGGGCTCAAGAATATTGTTGAAACTAAGAAATCTTATACACAACTCTTGCTAGGCAAACCCCTTGTTGATAAAGATGGTAAAAAACAAACGTTATTGGTTTCAGTTACGCCATTCGGTGAAGAATCCACTAAGAAGTCTAAAAGCTCCAACATTCCTATATCGAAAACAAATAAAGAAATGGTTGTCACCGAATCTAAAACTAACGTTATCTTAAAATCGTATACTAAAAATGAAGAAGAAAAAATCGAAACAGAAGAAAAATCGTTGTTGGATGAAATAAATGAAACATTGGAAAATAATAAGAGCCCTATTCAGATAATTACCAGAAAGAAAACTCAAAAAGAAATAGTGCTAACAATGTCAGATTCAAACAAGGAAAATGAAGAAGAAAATTCAAAAACCAAAACCGATAAATCTGAAAAAACTATCGTACCTGAGAAAAAAAGTAATTTATCACGCACACCTGCACTAATAAAAAAAGATAACGAAAAACCCGTCCAATACCAAACGTCATCCGCAAAAATAGAATTACTAAACAACAAAAATACAAAACTAAACAAAGAGACTGTTTATAATAATAAGGCTAAAACTGAAGTAAATAACAATCAAAAGACTGATATCGTAGTAGATCAAAAGAAAGAAAGCCTTAATCTAATTAAGGCTGAAGCTAAGAACACTTCAGAACAAATAAATAACATAATTCAAACTGAAGTTAACAATAATAACACAATTAAGAAAACGACCGCAGAAATCAAAGAAAAGAAAACAGATTTAAACGATAATACGGCGGAAAAACCACAAGAATCCCAAGAAAAAGTAGTTGGTCTACCCCCGCAATGTCCAAAATACACCAACATGTCATTTCCGCAAAGTCGCGAACTGGCTGGTGAACCAGATGGCCGAGCGGACCCGGAAACATCGGAAAGGCCAGCTCTACCACTCACACCACCTCCAGTTTTGGAAGTACAAACCTCATTCCTCCACGCGAACGTTCCTCTATTCGAAAAACCGAAAATTCCTTCAAAACCATCCACTGTTCTCATCAGAAAACCGGTTAACCCTAATACCCACATAATTCCTGCCCAAACACTCACTACATTCATCAGTGAACCTAAAATAAAAGAGGAAAAACCGACCCTCTGCAAGCAGGATTCCTTTGAAAGCGACGTTTCCGGCAAAGGTATTAACAAAAGAAGAGCGCCTAAACCTCCAGAGGAGAATGGCATCTACGCCAGACATTCCAGCAGTTCGATGAATGGAGACTCTCCCGTCGTTCGTGAGAAGGAAAAGCGTGAAAGGGCTTCTTCGTGTATTCCAAAAGTTTACTGTCCCCAGGTTGAACCAGAATACAGTACTATGCCAGAACCTGCTCCAAGAAAATCGCTATCAATATCAACTGATAGTTTAGCCTCTAATAATGGAGATGAAAAAAAGAAACCAAAAGGAAGATTTAGTTTGAAGAAGTTTTTGAGAATGGGGTCCAACAAGGATTTAGTAAAGATGCCTATGGATATTAAAATAGAAGAAGTACCAATCGAAATTCCTCCTCAACCCAAACCTAGGTATGTATGTCTTAATTTAAATTTGTATCTCTTAAATGTTATTTTGGTCTATATATATTTTAAGGGGTGGTTCTACACTGTAGAATCTACAGCCCAAAAAATGAAAAAAAGTTTCCAAGAACATGGGGTCAAAATGCTTTATAAGGAAGATTGCACTTAACATTAACATTTTATCTTGGAATAATAAATTTTGATACAAGCACCAACTTTTCTGTTGCAGACCTGATATTATATCAGGGGGTCATGGGGCGTCGCCCTTCAATTTATTTGTTGAGTTATGCACAGAAGGTCCTTTTATTCAAAATATCTTAAACCAACGTTTTTTTAAGAAAACTTTTTTCCTATTGTGCGCTAAAGAATCATCCCTTAAAACTTTTGAATGGAATTTAAAGAAACCATGTATAGAACATTTCTAATAGAAATAGAAATAGCTTTATTAGTTCAACACATTAGTATACACAACAAAGAACACGTTACAATAGAAAAAACTTTAAATCATTACAAAAACATGGTAAACGTAAGCATGTAAGTGTGCCATAATAATGGAGATACCTACATAAAGATTAAAAATAAAAATAAAATAAAAATATTTATTTACACACTTACCAAATATTTTTTAAGAGATGGGTTAAATTTTTTAGATATAGATTTTTTATGGTGAGGTAGTTTATACTAGTAAAACTAAGTTGAAAATACCATTATATATAGTATTTATTTTTGTTTATATAGGGTTATTTTAAAAACAATTGAATTTTAATTATATTCACAGAACTGCTCCAAGGTTATATTTACAAAAAATAACAATTAGTATACCTACTTGTTATATACAATAGTCAAAATAGGACAAAAACGTTTATTGAACTTACCTATATTTAAAAACCTGTTATTTTATAAATGCTTTCTATTTGTAGATTGGTCATTGTCCATCCATCTGAACTGAACGGCGCAAAGGTGGAAGTAGTTCAAAAATCGGCATCAGATCAAGTTGACTATGCCAATGGAGTAAACGATTACGAAACCTATACTATTAAACCCAGCAAACCTCCTCCACCTCCAAGAAACCTTGAAGACTGGCAAAGAAATGCCAAACCAAGCCTCCCGCATCCTCCTAAATCCATGGAAATCATCAACAAGCAGAGGCAAATCTCTCGAAGCAACTCCGCGATTAAAAAGACCGAAACAGTGTACGCAAATATTGGAGAAGTCAGGAATTCCATAGTTCCAAACAAACCCCAAAGAACTGCTAGCATGCGCGAAAGGGAAGCAATGCAACAAAAGCATATACACAGAAAAAAAGAATATCAACGTAATAAAGACACCGAACATGTGTATGATTATATTAATAGCGCGAGGTCCAGCAGTCCAGATTCCGACTCTAGTCGAGGCAAGAGAAGTCCAACCAACAAGACTGTTAGGTTAAATAAGAGATCTGAAAGCAGCATTGACGTTTCTGGGGAATATTTCAAATACAATAACATACCGAGATCTGTTTCGCTGACTTACTGCGGCAGCGAAACTGAATCCGAGATTTATTCGCCCTATAGTTTTTACGGAAGCGAATCAGAGGTCACTGAGGACGATCACGATTGGATACAAAATGGAAAAACTCATAAATTAAGGTCCAGAAAGGGAAGAAGTATTGTGCACAAGAATCTTGAAGATAATTATGGTGCTGTGATAGTGGCTAATCATGAGGCTTTAGCACAAGTATTGGAAAATGTAAGAATACAAATCTGTACCCCAGAGCCAAAGTAGGGAAAGTCCAAAAATTTGTTTCTATGAAACCCACATAATAATGTGGGTTTTATAGAAATCGAGCTTAAGACAACAATGCAGATAAAAATTCGGCGGTTCAAACCTTTAAACGGCTCTCCTTCAAAATCAGGTTTTTGGACTTCTACATTGGGTCTGAAGTACAGAAATACTAATTGAATTTAATATGTTTAGGGTTTCAAATAGTTTAAGAAATTTTGGAAATATTGATGCATCTACTAAATTTATAAGTTTAAAATTCACTTTTAGACATTTTTTAAGTTTCTTGGTTTGCTTGGTTTTTACTAATGGTATGGTTGAAACATGCAATAATTTAAATAATTCCATACCTACGTCACTCAATCTTACTCCAAATTGATTTGTATGTGTTTTTTTATCTCTCATGGTGTTAAAAGGTAGTTAATGAAAACAATGAGAAAACTGTTAAAACCAATAAATAGCAAATTTGTTATCATAATTAATTAATTCATAATACGTTTTATTCATTAAACTTTTTAATTATTTAGATCCAACAAACAATTCACATTCTTCCAGCCCTGAGGGGTTTAAAATCAACGCAAAACTTAAGATGGTCCGATTTTACGATAAAATCTGGCACCCAGACGGTCGTGGTAGGACAAAGAGCCTTCCATCAAGCACTATGGGGTGCTCAGCATGTTACATTGGTAGTTAATTCAGGTGCTTTAACTACAAGTACCATGTCATTGAGTACTTTTAATTTGACACCTGTTACGGAGTTTAATGATCTGATACCATGCAGTTATTTGCCTTTCTGTGGAAATGAAGATAACAAACAAATACAAGGTAAGAATTTTAAAACTAGTTTCTACTTTAAAAATTTATTTTACATTGTTTTTAGCCAATATTTCCGTTCTTCCTTGGCTTCAAGTTAATACAATTGAATCCTACAGTGAAATACTTAAAAATAGATCATCTTTAAATCAAGAAGAAACTTTGAAAGATGCTAGCTTCATAATGTTGCAACTTGTAAATGGCCTTAAGTCTTTGCAAGCCCAGGGTATAGAAGAAATGCCTGTTTCTCTAAACAGTTTTATTTTATGCAAAGAAATGGACAGAGAAACATATCACAGATTATGCATACTACAAGGGTAAGTACCAAAGCGATATTGATTGACACAGTTCCGAAAAAAAAGGATGAAGGGGGGTTTCAAAATGCTGATTCCAAGTAAAATAGTAATTTTCCCTAGTTTCTTGAATGATCATTAACATGTAGGTAACAATTTAGCTCCAGTTCATATTCAGTGATCAAATATGTTAGTTGTGAGTTTTTTTAATTAATTTTAAAACTGGTTTTATTGAGAAGTTATATAACACATTGTTTTGTAACGGCGTAATTACACTGGTCGACAAAATGAAAATTTTTGTTTGCAACCAACAACTGTTTTAGGGTAATTTGGGTGCGCTGATTCCAAAAATAACCATCATTTTGCTCAATTAGCCTTTGTATTCGAGATATTGTAAAAAAATGCAAACATTAAAATTAGTGTATATATTTTTTTAATCAAATAGGTACTTTAACTTTAAAGGATCATTGGTTATGTAGGTATGAGTCCTAATTTAAATAAACAAAATAAATTATAGATATTCATAAAGTAAGTCCCTTAAAAAGCCTATTTTTAACGAACAAATCGACAAAAAGTATTTTTGACAAGTTTTTAATGAAATTGTGTAGCTTTATTTACCTTCTTTAGTGTACGTATTACACGCAATCAAATAAAAATTGGCAAAATGGCACTCAAAACAATCGCGCGTGAAAATTTATATTTAAGATGAAAATAAATTTAAAAATAAATAGCTTGAAAAGGAACCAACCGACTTCAAAAACTAATACATCAAATGTAGGGATTCGAAAGGCCATTAAAATGAGGGGTTGAAAATATAAAAATATATTGCTCTCTAAGTTGAACTTCCTCTTACTCAATATCAGATGACAAATCAAATAGGAGGAAGTTGACTGTAATACCAAAAATGAACTTGACTTAAGAAAACTGAGGTTTAAAACAAAATACGTGCATTTTCGTAATGATTATGATGAAACACAGAAAAAGGATGTTGGAACAAACCCAACTGGCAATTCTAGTATAAAACATTTTATCACTACATGAACTGTTAGTTGTTAGTTATGTTGGTAGAGATGATACAAATCAGTATTTTTTGGGAACAGGTACGTCGCATAACAGGTCCAAGAGTGTATACCTGTTCCAAATACCTGTTACTTTAATAATTTTTAGCTGAGCGTATTTTGTGTTTTTATGTTGTTGGTTTCCCACCAAAGCAATCTGTGATAGACTGTCTATCAAACGCAATAAGATAAGATTTTTTATTAATGTTATTAAAGTTAATAATTTTGTAAAACATTAGAGCACAGTAAAATTGAAAAAATAGAATCTCTGGGACCACTCTGTATAATTGAATTAAATTTAGCAATGTTTAGACTATAGAATGATCATTTAATTAAGGTAAATTTGTTTAAATAAAAGAATTTTGCATACATTTATTATAAACAATTGAAACTTTGTATGTGTTCTTCACGCTGAAAAAAAATTTATCTTGTGTCATAATATGCGGCAAACGTTTCCGTTTAATAAGATGTACTCAAAAATTTGTCTTTCATATGTCATTCCGGAGATATTAATTTTTTTGTCCCGCTGGGGCTTGATCAGTACGCGGCGCGCTTTGTTGCTAGCTCGTCCGTTCTAACGTTTTAACAGTGTGCCTTAACGAAGTTTAAGTCAAATAAAAATGCCGCCAAAAACTGCTGTAGTTTCTTGTTCGGGGCCCTTTGGCGACTTAAAAATTATATTTACCAAAGTCTATCTGCTCCTCTTTTCGAAAATTCATGATTTTTTTTTTTAATTTTTGTCTACCTTTGACAGAGTACACATTTGTACACCGATTTTTATAAAATTGGAGTATATTATTTAGGAGACTTATAGAATACTTTTTAATACTGTTCACATCATTTGATATATACAGGGTTAGCCAAAAATCACTTATTTTTAATAAAGCAAAAGCGTAAATTCATGATTTTAGCATAACACGCAAAAAATATTTATCCCCAATTTTTTTTAGATATTTCTACGTCTATCAGGTTACAAAATTATTATTATTATTAACCTTTTAAAAGAAAAATAGATTGTTAATAAAATTTAATAAAATAACGCTTAAAGAAAGTATTTAAAATGTTGTTTAATTTAGGCTTTTTAGTAGTTTTCAATTTTGAACAAAAAATTGGTTGAAGTCACTCTTTGGTGATTTAAAAAAGATATTTACCAAAATTCTAACTGCTTTTTTTAAATTTGTCAGAGTACACATTTGTACACCGATATTGTAAACGAGAGAAACTGTTTTTATACTGAGCATCATTAGATTTATACAGGGTTAGACAAAAATCACTTTTTTATATGGTAAAAAGAATAAAAAAATTTCGAAAAGAGGAGCAGCTAGGATTTTGGTAAATATCATTTTTAAGTCACCAAAGGGTCCCGAACAAGAAACTCCAATCAGTTTTTGGCGGCAACAAATTAACCTTAATTAAATGATCATTCTATAGTCTAAACATTTCTACAATAGTGTGTAAAATTTAATTCAATTATACAGAGTGGTCCCAGAGATTCTATTTTTTCAATTTTACTGTGCTCTAAAGTTTGACAAAATTGTCAACCTTAATAACATTAGCAAAAAAACGAATTTTAAAATAATTTTTTTACTGTGACATATGAGTCGTGCCTACTACACAATAATGTGATTATTTTCAAAATCGGTGATTTCGTGAGATTTTCTGGTCCCACTTGACGTGGCTTGACTCTTGTTTCATTTATTTTGTTGTAATACATCAATCAATGTATTAAAAAACAAAAAATGTAGACAGGTTTCAACTTTCTTATCACTTATTACTTATTCCTAATTCTTATTATTATCAACCGTTTGTGCTGTAGTCTTGGGTGTGTTTTTTAAACTTAATGTATCTTATATGTTATGTTGATGTACATCTAAATTTTGTACTTATTTGCTAATATTAAATTTACATAAGATAACAATGGCTAGTCAAGCACCAAAATGTTTAAGTTGTTTATGAACCTAATATAATTATAATACGGTTTTTTGAATTTTATTTGTGTTTTTTGATTTTGTACAGAACAATTGATTTTGTCCGGACGGACATAATTGGACAAAATTGTCGAATTATGTCCACTTAGACGAATTGATTTGATTAAAAAACTATATATACGAATTTGAATGTTTGCATATCTAAAAAACGGTTTTTTACATTAACAATGGCTAATTGAGCAAAACTATGGTTATTTTGGAATCAGTGCACCCAAATCACCCTAGAAAAGTTGTTGATCACCCTGTGGCAAAATGGCTGTCGACCAGTTTTAATAAGTTTATTTATTTTGTACCACTGTTATGGTTAAACTTAAATTGGATTGTATTTATATATTTATTTATCTTCCTAAAATCATCCATACAATAGATTAGATTAGAGTTATCTAAAAAATGTTCTGTTTTAACTATTTAATTAAAAAAAATATTTCTTCTAGATTGGGTTCTGAGGTTTCCAACAAATCAGAAGAAAAGTATGGCACCCTTTGCATGTGCGCCTCTAAAGCTTTAATGGTACTACAACCCACAGCTAAAATAACAACATTAATTCAATCTCTTCTAAGCAATGAAAGAGCTGTTTCCTTGACCCAAGTTAAGTCAATTCTGGAATTCACTTTGTGGGGTCCATCGGACGTCAATTTAGGTAGCACCATCCGCGAGAGGGAGCTGGCGTTGCAAAGATGGCTGGATCTGCAAAGGGCTACCGTTTTGCATGGACTTGTTTGCGCTAGAGTTCAACTTACTATCTACGAGGAATGTCATTTGCTTTTCTTGGTTAGAAGCAATTCAAGAATGATGTGTGATGCTTCCTTATTGATTGAGTCTAGTAATATGAAACATGCTTACATAAATAGTCATAAATAGGATTATTTTTATGTTATTGGTGATTGATAATATAGTATTTTAATTAGTTTTTAATTTTTCTCATGCATATGATTTTATATTAAAATCTTGTAAGAGATACATACTCATTTTCAGATTCTTTTGTAATGATGCTTGCCTTTACATAGTTTTTCTTTATAACTTTTGTATAAGTAGGACTAAAATTTGTATATGTTATTTAATTTAGTTTGTATACTTTATTAGATATTCCTAGCTTTTATACTGCCATTAAGATATACTTCTTGTAAATAAAAAATTATATTATATGTTATTTTGGTTTTTGGAAAGATTATTTATATTTATGTTTTCTCCATGTATGATTTACTACTATATTGTTTATTGTATATAAATTACAGTGCCTTATGTATTTAAAAAATCTTTTATAAAAATTTTGTATTAAATAAAACATAAAAAACAATCAACACATTTTTTATTAAAGGTAAATAAAAAATATACCTACATATCTTTAAAACAGTTTTAATAGCCAAAAAAAATAAATAACAATGGGGTGTATAATTTATTGCTTAGTTATTACTGTGATACAATGTAAAACCTGAATATTGTGAATACAATAATTACTAATATTGCTCTGAAATTTATAGTAGAAAATAAAACATTTTGTTTTGTCATAAAGAAATACATTTTTAAATTATTTGAATTACTTTTTCAACATTGCTAATTTAACATACACAGTACTCTACAATTGACTACAACCATGTGTTTTGTTAGGTTTTTAATAATTTAATGAGATGTTTAATTAAGAATATACCTCGTATATTTAAGCTCTATGCTTACTAGCATTGGTTTTAATTTGTTTGAAACAAATAAGTGAGATTCTTACGATTTAGCTTACCATACTATTATTATTGTCTCAAGGTTCAATTACATCATAATTTAAAGACCTTTATTGAAGTAAATCCGTTCAGGAAGTTTGTCTCCAGTAGCTTTTTTCATGTTTTCATAAGTTTTTGGTTCCAACCATGCTAAAGTTGATGTTTTAAGAGAACTAAAATGAAAATTCAAAATACAAATAAATTTAAAAACATGTTTGGGTAAAAGAACTTACCATCTTTGGGGAAACAGACCACAAGCAGTGGGTACCATGAACGATAAGCTAAAAAATTACGAATGGTATTTTTGTACACGAAAAAAAAATACCGCACTGGTCGCTGTCAGCACCGCGATAGTTACGTCGTGAACGAAAAAGTGTAAGAAACATCTATGCTGACGTTAAAAAATTAGGTTTGCACAGTAATCTGTACGGTCTCCGACAGCGAACGAAAAACCGATCGCTGTTACGACAGATCGCATTACCATTGACAGAAATTACCACGCGGTGATTCCACGTAAAATTACTACGTGGAATTGCCATGTGGTAATTTCCAAATACCACGAGTAATAACTACGTGGATTTTTTTCAGCTGGGTTCTACGCGTAGTTTTAAAATTCTACGTGGTTATAATAAAAAAACTATTCCAATAACTATGATTCATAAATGTACTTGTCATCTGATTTTGAGATATAATCATTTACATTTAGTGCAAATTTTTCAAAATTCATAATATTTTCATTATTTGAAAGAAATTTGTCATTAATATATTAATGACAAATTTTTTTCAAATAATGAAAATATTATGTATTTTGAAAAATTTGCACTTAATGTAAATATATAAATATATTGTAATTGGTAATTTTCATAATACAACAAGGTCGTGAAAATGGGCTTGGTGAAATTGTTATTGTGTGACCCTCTAAATTGGTTTAAAATAACTGAACAAAAATTCAGTTGTATTTTTATTTTAACCCGTGGCGACAGACAATTATTTTTTCCCAATAAGTTAAAACCATGGGATTTTATCTTTAATCAATCCTTTCTATTTCAAGAGAAATATGCGTCCGAAAAATAAGCTTACACGGCGAATTGTAGGTCATAGTCAACAAGAAAAAAAATGCAAGGTTGTATAGTATATATACAATGTATACCATGGTATTGCAATACTGCATCAAGGCATAGTACGTTTTGCCAGGAGTAGGATAAGTGAATCACCACTGGTGACTTAGCCGGATACCATAAAAGTCGATAAAAGCCCTTAACCTCTACCTACCCAAGACCGTCAGTACTTGTCATAAGACAAGAGGTGAATCTGCTCAATGCAAAGACTGCGGATCTAGGGGACTCAACCTCGAACAAAAATGCCCAAATCCCCTAGGGGTAACAGGCAATATCCCATTATATTTAGCCTTACACACACGGATTATGTGGGCGGACCTTTAGTTCCGGACTACTCGTGGAAATTTATATGGAGACTAAACCTATAAAACCTAAATCTTAGACCCCACAAAGGGACTCGTAACAAAAGCGTCGCATCTAAGGCTAGAGCCAGGAGGCTTAGGCTCAAGACACAGTCCATGGGCACGGGCTCTGGCGAAAGCCAAAGGCCTGCTTCGGCGTAGGGGGGACCCAAGAATCTGGGACGAATCGTAACAGATCTGAGGGAAGCACCCCTGAGGCTCGAAGGAGGCAATGACGCTAGCGAAGAGGCCCAGGGCTTCCGGAGTTGAACCGTGAGGTCAAGGGATTGGCTTCGCATAGCGCCGCAACGCGTTGCAACGTCTGCTGGTCGAGGAGTGACCATCGCGCCGGATGCTTATTCGGACGCGATGATCACGGAATCGCAGAGCAAAACAATAATGGGAGCACTAAACGCCAACATTGATCTTATGGCAGGAGATGGATTCCCCCAGTTCGATGCGGGGATCAGTGGACGTTGGACTGGCTGGACGGGATCATCTCCTCGATCATACCCTGGGAAGGGGCATCACTGCGCGTGCAGCGGTCAATTCCTAGGGTAATTAAGATGGTTGCAGCTGTCCAGGGTCTCCCAGACGACACCCCCACCATCCTTAACCGACTTCATAGAGAGAATCCTGGTCTTAGGACGAAACTATGGAGAACGTATCACCAAAAAGAGGAGACAAACAGGGTTCTCCTGGTTTTTGGGGTTGACGAGGCTTCAGCCGAGACCTCGCAGCGACAAAAATTCAGAGCCTTCGCGGGGGTATCCGTCGTCACTTTCATGAAGAAGGCAAAGGCTCCAGCTGCGATGGAGAAAGAAACGGCTCCAGCCGAGGAGGATAGTAGCAATACTCCCTTGTCGAAAGGTACCTCTACACCCAGACCAGATCCGACAGAGTCGACACCAACTGACTCTGCAACACTGGACAAGGAGGTGGTTGAGCTCATGGCTCAGGTGGATGTAGAGGATACACCCCCAGGGACGAGGGCTGGACCATCCGTAACCTAGAAATCAGGTCCTATCTCTATCCTCTACCATGGATAAAGAGACCTCATTTTTACAAAGCAACTTGCAACATAGCAAAGGGGCGATCTCCTTAATCACAAAGCTATGGGGCGGACACATGTATACCTTCTACAAGAACCTTGGTCATACAATGGTCGCGTAAGAGGCCTAGGTAGATGGGAAATCTTCTATAAGAGGGACGACCAACTAAATTCAAGGGCAAGCATCTAAGTTGACAGACGGATCGAGTCCTCACTAATACCTAATTTATGTTCTAGGGAATTGCTCGGCCTATCTGCCCTATGACTCGATATACGATCCTCCAACACAGGAGCTCATCGATGTAGTGGAGTACTGCAGCACGCTGGGCCTCCTGCTGATTATCAGGTGCGATGCCATCGCACACCATATGGTGTGGGGAAGCACCGACACGAATCGGAGAGGGCTCAGCCTCTTAGAGTATCTACATAATACGGATCTGGAAGTCCTAAACCGCGGCACTACACCGACCTTCGTCACGTCACGAACAAAAGAGGTGATTTGACATTGGGCTCCCTCTCCATGGCCCCGATGACAAGAAATTGGAAGGAGTCATCCCTGTCGGATCACAGACACATTATCTTTAGCTTAGACCTAACTCACGAGGCTGGGCTCCTAACACAAACTGGGACCAGTATGTTGAGATGCTGAAGACTAAGCTAGTGGTCTATCGAGGAAAAAAGAAAACTCCTTGGTGAAATGTTGACCTCGACAAGGCTCGCAAGGAAATCCGCAGGCTCTTTAATATGGCCATGGGGTCTAAATCACCTGCGGATTGGAACACCCACAAGCAGTCTCAGCGCAGATACAAAGATCTCATAAGAAGGTCTAAAAGGGAATCTTGGAGGACGTAGACGAGCTTCAAGCAGCAGCCAAGCAAAAGATTCTCTTAAAGGATCCAGGACGAGAGCTGGGGATATTAAGGATTCCCACCAGTAGCTGTAGCACCACCGCGGAGAAGGCACTTGAATGGCTTCTGGAAATACTCTCCGGGCTCAGAAATCCTGCAAACTGTCAAACCACCAAGGCAAGCTCCTCCAGCTGGCGTAAGCCCAACTGACTGGAAGATAGCTGCAAAGGTATACCTATAGTGACAGAGGCATACCTATAGTGACAGAAAGGTATACCTATAGTGACAGAAACCCGAAGAAACGTGAACCTAGAAGGGCTCACGCTCTTTGTATCAAGACTGACCCTATCCAAATCAGTCAAATATCTGGGAGTCATCATTGACTCTAGGTTGACCTGGAAGGAACACGTCAACAGGGTCGTCCAGAGGGTTACTTATAGCATATGGGCATGCAGAAGGACCATTGGACGCACCTGGGACTTACAACCCCACATAGTGCACTGGCTTTACACAACAGTTATAAGGCCAATGATCACATACGGCAGCCTAGTATGGTGAAATGCGCTGATTTTTTTGCATTTTTAGGCGTATGTGTGCCTACGTGCTGCCTGCAGCGGCTCCTATTCAAATCAAATAAAAAAAAATACCAATACTTTACACGTTAGCTACAACAAACCAAAACGTTTTTAAATAAAATGGGATTTCAGCTTTAATCTAGTCTATATTTTTTTTTAAGCATAATATTCGTCCGAAAAATTGGATTGTTACGGGAAACTGTGGGTCATAGTTGTCGCAATCCAGGAAAAAATTCGCAAAGTGGCATACCAATACTTTCCACTACTACTAAACAAAAACAACGAATAAAAACGAGTATTTTAGATTTTCGGTGGTTGGTTTTTATTTCACCCTAACCAATATTTTTGGTATCATTCCGTCAAATTAACAAATTTAAAATGTCTGTCATTCCTCTTTAAAAAATGCCTATTCGTAAAATTTAGTATATTGCGAGCCAAAAATGCTATACAGAGTGTCCAGAAATTAAGGGTCCAAACAGTGGAATCTGTATGAAAAAAACACTTATTTGTTTTATAAACATGTATAAAAAAAGTGCTCTTGACGAAGCTACATCCCCCTGAAGTCCTAAGAGGATGATTTTTTCCTTTAATTTTATTTTAATGTGCTGAACCTTGTGCTATAATAAAAACTCTATAATAAAAACTCTACAATTTAATCATATGCGTAACATTTAATGGAAAACAGCCAAAATTTTTCTGTTTAATTTTTTTCTAAAATTATGAACATTTAGAACTTTTCACTAAAAACGTACTCTGAATTTTTATAATATTTAATATAGGTTGCGCGTAATGGTAAAAATTCGAGATGAGGATGCTAAACAGAGTAATTTATTAATGAATTTTTCTCGAAAATTGTGCATCTGAGCGATGCAAATAGTATCTTTTTTTAGGAGATGGCTCTAAATTGATTTAGTTTTGACCATTTTGATTTTAGATCTAGATTCAGGATGTCAAAATTACCAAAGTATTAAAAATTAATTTATTTAAGTTTAAAAACATCCTTTTATTCTCCTATTCAGGGGGCAGTAACTACATCAAATGGCATTTTTAGATACATGTATATTAAACAAACTAGTGTTTTTTTCTATGCAGATTGCACTGTTTGAATTTGGCCTCCTAATTTCGGAAAACCTTGTATTTTACGAACAAGTTTAATCAATCAGTCATAAATTAAATGAAATTTATATCCAACGGTATATCTGTACCCCAAAGCCAAACTGTAGTTCACTTTATTGAAATCATTACAGACTAATATAATAAATATACAAATAAAATGTTTATGTAACATTATATTACATTTAATTTAATTTAATTCATGACTTTAAATGATTTAACATTTTCGTAAAATTTATAGATATTTATCTATAGCACCGAACACACAACACATCCTAGAAGTGCCACTCTTAAATAAACACCCGAGTCCTTCCGACAGCAGTTTCCCCTTGCTTCGCGTACCCGCTGTTGTGAGCTGCGATGCAAGGGGAACCCGTATGCTCCGTGCATACGGAGGGTTTTGAAATAGTTTAAGAAGTGTTAGAGATATGTTTTAAGTTTTTTTTGCAGTGTAACGTTAATTGTTAATTATACCCTCGTAGAAATTTAGTCACCGCCTAGGCGAATACGTTGCCGATGTCGGCGACGCTTTATTCTAAGGACATCAAAGTACCGCCTTTAAGTGAACCTTTTGACTATTCTTAATTACACGAATATGCATTTTTCCAATAGGAATACTTTAAATTTATTAATATTTCTATTTTTGTAAACAATAGACAAATTATTTATTCAAAATTAATCTGTTAATTTGACAGAATAATACCAAAAACATTGAAGAGTATGGAAAAATAAAAAATATCGACAGAAATCTAAAATACTTGTCTGATTCAAACCAGAAACAGGTCTAAATTCGAAAAAAAAACGTGTTTTTAAAATTTCCTGTTTTTGTTTCTTGTAGCTTAGGTGCAAAGTATTGTATGCCACCTTGGCAAGGTTCTGGTTTGAATCAGACAAGTATTTTAGATTTCTGAAGAAGGTGACCTTGGGAGCTTTTTTTGGTTTGCGAAAATACGAGTTTACGACCTACAATTCGACGTATTAAATTATTTTTCGCAAGCATACTATGCTGGATAAAAATTATGAACCAAATTAAAGCTCCCATTTTATTTAAATAAGAAACAAATTAACGTACTTGTTCGTTGTAGCCAGAGCTGTGCGGTGCTCGAGTTCAAGTACTCAAACACTACTCCAAGTACCTTCAGTGTACTCGGTCCCGAGTACGTACTTTAATTTGAATGTACTTATACTTTTACTTGATACATTTAAGATTGCAAAAATGTACTCGAGTACTTTCCCGTGTACTCGACTACTTCCAAAGTATGCAATGAGTACATTTTTATGCGGTGAGGTTGGCATGGGTGCACATATGTGCAAATATGTGCGTGGGTGTTGAAAATTTGACAACACTGCTCAGACTTGTCAAATTACGGACATGCTGTCTGATGCAGCCTGCCTCACACGGCAGACTTAAGACAGCCTCAATCAATAAATAAAAAGACACAGGAAAGAGCATTGAACGAAAGTTTTTACTTATGCATGAAATGTAATTTTGTTTATATTTTGGCAAGGTGATATTTCTCAAAAAGATATTTCAAAAATAAAGCTAAGGCAAAGCAAAACGAGATACGTGCTGCTTTCATTTAAAAAATTTATTAAAGCTTTATCACTAATGAAACCAGCAAGCTGAGTACAGCCTTTTTGATCAGACAATAAGTATTTTTCTTTTGTGTGTAACCTCTTAATGTACAAATTTTGGGTAAATAAATGTGCTTATTATTATTATTATACTAGCCGGCCTTGATAATTAACATAAAGCGAAATATCAATATTTGATAAAGGCAATAGGCCGGCTAGTATTTAGTTTTGCACTAGTGATTCTAAATTCATTTCTTAATCGCCCCATTTCTCTAGCATTTCTCCCAACATTTCAACTCGGTACTTTGTACTCGTATGGGTACTCGAGTACAACGGTACTGTACTTGTACTTGGTGCTCGAGTACTTTTATAATATATATTATATTAAATATTATAAGAGTACTTTTATTCAATACTCGAGAATTTTTTATTGTACTCGGAACAGCTCTGGTTTTACCTTACGTACAAAATATAGGTATGCAACCTTGCAAATTTGTTCCTGGTTTGCTTATTTTTCGGACGCATATTATTGCTAAAATCCCTTGTTATTTAAATGGAAAAAATGGCTCTGTCGGTACGGTTTAATGTCAAAATAAAAATCTGAAACAAATTGGGGAGTGTTTTTAAATTATTAGAAACCAATTCCGTCAAGCCCATTTTAACGACCACCCTAAGTTTTAAAGAATAGATAAAGGTAAGTAAAAAACAAATGATTTCCAATGCTGTGTTCATTTGAAAATGTTCTGGAGTAAATTTTAAGAAATATCATTTCTTTATGGTTCTTAATAAGGTAGAATACGTCGGTGCATTAATTGCGGGAAACATTGGGAAAGCGATATGTAGGAATAGCGATTACCTCGGTTATACACCTCAATGATCGCTGTCGGGGTAATGCTTGCGGTTCCTAAATCGCTGTCTGAGACCGTACGTATTACTGAACAAACCCGAATTTGTACTTTTCGCATAGCAATCTTAGCTGTTTCTATAGTCGTTATAACGACTAAAGTGAAAAGCAAACTGTGAATCCTGCTCCGACAGCGAAAGATGCGGTTTTTTTTCTCCGTGTACATTTTATTTTCATGAAGCAGACCACCAAAAAATGTAATTAATAAAAATTAACAACATTTTAAAAATCATGTAATCAGAGTCTATTTTATTATTAAATGATGTTCAGATATTTGTTAATTTTAATTTATAGCGTTAATAGTCAGTAAAAATTTCAACAAAAAGTTCCAGATTGGTTGCGGTAGTCTTATTCGCTGGCCTCCAAGATCTCCATACCTCACAATATTGGACTATGTTTATGCAGTTAGTACAAAAATGAGATTATAAAATATATATATATAAAAATTTCAGTTCAGTTCACATAAGAAATACTGCATCCACAATGTATCCAATAAATACAATTTTTTTAAATTATGATGTAACACAATATTAAATAATTTCTCTCCTGTAGATTTAGCAAAAAGTCGTCTAAAGATATGGACTGATTTTTGATCAAGAAATTTAATTTGTTCAGGCACATATTATGTTTTAAAACTCTATGCAGTAAGATTTTCAAACAGTAATTTTGTTTCTTATTGCTATTTAGCCAAACTATGGAAAATTCTAAATATTCGACAAAATTATGTTACCATAATTTCCCTAGGGTTTTTATACTGTTATTGTATATTTTATACTTACAAGCATCCAACCATCATGACCTGGATGGGCCCATGCAATGGAGTGATTCTCTGCATCAAGGGGTATTTCTCCAGTCTTTCCATGATAACCGGCAATATCAACATGCCTGGAGCGCACATTGTGATACGAGAAACAATTACTTGCGTTATTCCTTTAGCCGCCGCCAATTTTGATTGTCCAATAATTTTGCCTTTCTCGTCCGTGCAATCGATACCGCCCAAAATTTCATTTTGACGCATTAATGGTATGTTTACGCAATTTGCTGCTGCCACGGCAGCAAATGGAACATAACGCTGAAAGTAGTAATTCAAGTTATGATGGGAACTTCAATTGGGAAGTGACAGTAACAGTACAAGTTACAAATTCGGGACGAGACGAGTTTGGAAAAAGCAGTGTGTCCCGAAAAAAGCGCACTAACGCCATACCAATGGGATGGCATACAAAATATGTTACAAGTCATTTACAGCTCTTAAAACTATAAATAACTGGTAGTAGGTGTATGTAGAATAAAACATTTTAAAATCACTGTCAAGTATTTTTGAATTACATGATCAGGGGAGTAAGTCTTTTGTTTAAATAAAGAAAGTACTAGGAAATGGCCCAGTACTCTGTTTTATGCGTGAGCGTATGTATTTATAATTTTATGCAAACCTATATGCCATCAATTCAATATTAAAAAAAATATTTCTAGTTACAAAGCACGTGTATAACGGATTATACTGAAAATTATTTTGTCACAACATTCTTCTGCATAAGCTGTGTAAATTCGGATTCTCCAACTAAGCTCATCTAATAAACCGCAAACTATATGTTGACTGTCATGTTATAAAGTCTTTAGAAATAACTGCATCTTCTGGAGTACCACAAGGATCCATCTTGGGTCCCTTACTATTTGTTATTTTTATAAATGACATTTGATTCCGAACATTCGTTGTATGCCGGCGATGCTAAGATTTTGTCACATATTAAGTAGGGTTTTAATATAATTTAAAAAAAATTTGACTTTGGTTTAATGAAAATAACCTTTTTATTAAAAGTAGATAAGTGCAATGTGGTATTCTATAATAGGAAAAAATATCCACTAACATTTGACTTTTCTTTTAATTCTCGGACCGCGCACTGAACACTTTAAAGATCTGGGTGTAACATTTCACAGTAAACTTTAATATGCACATATAAATTTTTATTAACTCAACTAATAAAAATTTGGAATTTATTGTCAAAAATTCTCTAGGTTCTTTTCTTGGTTCTACTTTAAAATACCTTATTAAGTCAAAAATAGAGTATGCCGGTATAATTTGGAATCCTCTTATACAACAAATTCCGACTTACTTAAATACATACAGCGTTGCTTTCTCAAAGTTAGTTTTAGAATTAATGGTATCCACCCACCATTGGGATTTTCTTAAGCATTTTTGTTAACAGGAATTAATTTGAAGAGTGTGGAAGAACGCAGAATAAAAGCATCCTTGTGTTTTTGTTTAAACTTTAATATTGACTGTCCTTACCTTTTAAGTAAATTATATTTAAGAGTTCCAAGTGTTAAATCAAGAAATAGTTTTACGTTTTAACTTTCAGCAGCAGAAACAAATTTTCTTTAGTGCATTGTATGTGTGAAAGGTATAAAAATGTCCAGGATAAGTTTAATATTTTCTCATGCAATGTAAAAACAAATAAATATTAAATATTAACATATATCTAATATTACGTAATTTTATTTTTTTCATGTTTTAAATGGCCAAATATGTAAATGATAAAAAGAATATTATTTTATTAATATCTTGTGTTGTATTTTTCTTACATATACCAAGTTTAATTAATCAACATAAGACCCACACTGTGGGCCCCACAGCCTGTGGGTTAAACCATAATTAAGTAATTTTTGCTAAAATTATTTGTATCATGCTTAGGGGCCTTGTCTGTCTACAAGTATAAACAATAAACAAAAGAGGTACTTGACTCCCCAATCACATTATATTTACTTTAAAAAGCACTATTCAAAATAAATAATGTCAAAATATTTATTTGTTTGTTATTTACCTGGACAAAAGGACTGGCTCTCTTGGTCCAGTAATACTTGCAACCTAGGGCTGTACCCATGGCTGAAGAGGTTGCCGTGACATATGCTACTAATAGTTGGGTGGTGGATGTTGGCGATTTTGCGTTTCTGTTTGTGTAGTTGACTAGTGCGTTAAAGGACTGATTGACCCATTGCCAGAAAACAACAGCCGGGGCCGTTCTAGAAAAAAAAACATAATACAATTGTTATTATAAAAACAGGATTGTATATAATATTTATTAATAATATAATATAATATTATAATATTACACACAAAAAAAATATGTGGATTCATCGAAAAATTTTATATTGATGTTATATTGACAAGCCTTACAATTTTTAATATTATTTAAGGTTCATAAAAGCAAAAAAATACAAGTGACATTTAAAACAAAATTAATTAATTAATTTAAAAATAATATCTAACAATAAATGTAAATGCAGCATTAACAGCATTCAATTCATACGTTCAATTCAAAATAAAGTATGTACTTTCTCTGGTTAAATTAGGTCAACTTGAATCAGATTCAATGAATCCTGTAAAGATAATCTTATTAATTTAAAAATCTTAACTATTTACTGTACTTTTATATCCATTTATTTTTTAAAGAGAAATCAAAATATGTTTGGGAAATTTACCACAGGTACTCAATTTAAAATGTGATAAATTAAATTATGTTTACTTGCAAAAAAATGTTCCATACTCCTCCTGAAAAACCATTAAAAAAGACCTCAAAGAATATTTTGTTAATAAATGTTACTATTTAATAAATGATCTTTTAAGGGATGACAATTTTGAAATTTCTTTGATAAATATGTAATTATTTCTTTCAGATCTTTTTTTGTATCTTAAGGCTATATTTTCTACGTTTATTTATTTGTTTTAAACTAATTTTAATTGTACGTTTAATTTCTTGTATAATCTCCTGTGTTAATTACACAGTACAACAAAATTTGATTTTTTTACCTGGGTCTCGGCGTTTTTTCAGATCCAGACATTTATTTTCTTAAAGTGCAATTCAATAAAATGTTATCCACGGTATTCAGAACATAATATAACAGCTTGGATAACAGCTAGACAGTATATTTTGAAGAAAAATTTATTCACTAAATAAATGGACGACCATTCAAATTATTTATTTATTTTAAAATTATTTTAATTATATACAGGGTGTAGCACATTTACGAAATACATGTTTTACGTTCGTGGTCCATTAAAAGTTTCTGAGGAACGGCAAAAGATATCGATTTAAAATTTTTAAAGCGTTTATTATTTAATTAAGCCTATTTTTCTAAAATATTTTAAACAAAATGCCACTTCCGGTTTGACTGGAAGTGATATCTTCTTTGTTATTTTAAATAGAGCACCCCATATATACCTATTTACATTTTTAAATTCTACAAAATTTGATTTTTTTACCTGGGTCTCGGCGTTTTTTCAGATCAAGACATTTATTTTCTTAAAGTGCAATTCAATAAAATGTTATCCACGCTATTCAGAACATAATATAACAGCTTGGATAACAGCTAGACAGTATATTTTGAAGAAAAATTTATTCACTAAATAAATGGATGACCATTAAAATTATTTATTTATTTTAAAATTATTTTAAATATATACAGGATGTAGCACATTTACGAAATACGTGTTTTACGTTCGTGGTCCATTAAAAGTTTCTAAAGAACGGCAAAAGATATCGATTTAAAATTTTTAAAGCGTTTATTATTTAATTAAGCCTATTTTTCTAAAATATTTTAAACAAAATGCCACTTCCGGTTTGACCTGAAGTGATATCTTCTTTGTTATTTTAAATAGAACACCCCATATATACCTATTTACATTTTTAAATTCTACATAAAATTTTGAGTAAAATTACTGAACCATGTATAAAACCTGTAATTCTTGAATTTTTTTAATAAAATTAGAAATTCGTAGATAAACTTCAGTGAATTAAATATTGTACCACTTTAATTTAAATTATCTTAATTTGGGGGGGCAGGAGGCTGGGGGGGCACACTTATAAACTAACTTTTTTTTGGAAACTTCAATTTAAATTCTGCTTGCACAGAACTTGTCTATATTATGTAATTATAAACTCATATAAATTTGATGTGGGTCCCATGTCTAATAACTAAGATATGGGTGTGCCTGAAATCCACCAGCCGCCACTGTATTTAGGTAAATTATGTAATTTAATTTAATTTTATACCTGTAAAACTGTAACATAGCCCCAGTGATAGCCATGCCCCCGGGCACTTGAAAGGACATTCTTCCAAAAACATTTTGTTTTTCTCCACTGTCTGGATGAAATGCACTCTCGTACAATTTTTTGGCATAAATAACCTGTTCTAAACTTGTGCCTGGAGGTTCACTACGATTCCTATATTGTTCTACTAAAATCTTAGCATTGTCTAGTGTATCTTCACTTACTACACAAGTTCTAGGATCGGTAACCCACAAAAAATGCTTGAATCTTCCCACAAAAGTGCTTTGATCCCACAGTGGGGCATCAATGTTTATTCTTTCTGGCATTTCTATTTGTTTACCTGAAATTTTGCAATTTAGTTTATGTTACTGAAAAAATAACAAAGTCGTGAATATTAAATATAGATTATACAGTTCAAACTGTTATTATTGTATAACAAAATTATAACCAAAAAGTTTCAAAGTTCAAGACGATAAACTCTGTTGAAAAATTCCAAACTGTGGTGCGAGCTATAATGTTTACTTATTGCAGAAATACTCACTAATTAAATTTATTATTATCCGGAAAAAATTAAAATTTTATATTTCACACCCCCTCCAGTCACAAATCGGGATACCACCGCAACCAATCGAAAAACGAAAATTTAGCGAATTTTGACAGGAAAACAGCTGAACGCTACCAACTACAAGGCCGCGCAAAATTTAATTTAATCGTGCCAAAATATTTAAATGGAATTGAATAAAATTCCAGTTCTAAAAGCACCAAGCTGTTTAAACCTCATATCATGAGGCATTCTATGTCATGAGGTAATTACTATGAAGTAGTACCTATCTCCATTCGTTTCCATAGAATGTCTTCAAAATGTATTATAATACATTTTGAAGACATATAAATATAATATAATAAATATGATTTTGTGTGACATCAGACACATTCACAAAAATTTTTTTCATATTTTTTACAGCATAGATTCCAAGAAAATATTTTTTAAAGTTACATTTATTTTCATATTTTTTTCATTTTTTTATGCTTGAGTTCGCTTATCAGATTTCCATAAAAATAAATTCATTTTCAAGCCATTTTGTTTTTCAAGTTTGGAAATCTGTGAAAACTTTCCACTGGAAAGTAGGTAATTAGGTATATAAGATATCTATGGAGCGCGTTCGAAAACTCGCAAGAGTGCACTCTAGATACACTCCAAGTTTACCTTGCGCGTTCGATTTCTCTGGTATATACATAGATATATACAACTGTCAACCTAGATATATACAACTGTCAACAGTTGCTGTTTTCGAACAGTTACTGTTCGAAAACAGGACCTACTAATATTTTAAATTTCAAATGTAAACAACTTTTTGACAGATCGAAACAGAGAAAAATATATATTAAAAAGAGAAAGACTATTAACCACGTAACGTGGTCCACGTTGAATAACTATAAAAATAGCTCAGCGATATAGTTTTATGGTCTGGTATTTGTGACGTCATAATTAGGATTTTTAAACGCACTCTAAACGCAAAAATGCCTTAACTATTAATCAAGGTTAAGTTTAATAAGCATAGTATTTCATGGTATTTACGCGAAAAAACGACTGCCGAAGATAAATTTAATATTTGACATTGGCTACACTGCCTGGGCAATTCCTGAAAAATGTATAGCCACCTTTAGGTTCTTTGATAGCAGTGTTACCAAATCCAGAACGAAAAAATCAGTTCAATAATAATAGAACCAGCTGATTGACTAATCAAGTGTCATTATTTGTTTATTTTTATTGATAAGATTATAAATAACAAATTTTTGCAGATGATATTATAAATCGATATCCCAACATTTGAATCTAAAGGATCGGTTAAGTACAACTGAAAGGCATTCATTCTTTTTAGGTCAAAGTTCTTTTAATGACAAATTTAGTTTCTTTGTATATTAAAAGTTAAGGTTCCTTTATTGTCTGCAAGGAGATGCTGTAAATAACTTAAATAAATTTGTTACAAAATGGAAGGCATACAGTGCTCAGAATTTACGTTTTTTAATGATTTTGACTCTGCCAACCTTTCACGTGTTGAATATGTCCCACCCAATGAATCTGGTAAAACATAAATATTAATGTTCCACTGCTGTGGTTTCTATAAAATGTCTTTTGCAGTTGTCACAAAACAACCTGGAAACAAGTCTGTTATTCCTGAAATCCCTGATGCTGAATTTAACATCTGGACAAAGCCAGATTGTTCTGGAACTGAATGGGAAAATGGAAATAGAACATGGTTCTATTTTGGGATGAAAGGTAGTATTTTTTTAATAAAACTTATTTTTATATTTAAATATCAACATTTCTAGCCAACAATCCCTCATTATTAATAAAATTTAATTTGGTTGATTTAAATCGACAAGGCAAAATGTACAGTCAGGGAATGGCACCTGTTTTTCGAATTGTACCTGGTAAACCACAGTGGGAACGTATTAGGGACAGACCCACATACTCTGTAAGTAAATTTGTGCAGTGTGTTTTTTAGGACTCGACCAATGGATCGGCACCTGCATCGGCGCCGATGGTTGCAATTTTCAGCCATCTGCATCGGCCATCGGCGAAAATATATGTCGATAATAAACAAAAACTTGGCACTAATTGACTACAAACATTCTTTTTTAAATTTTATATGTATTTTTTGGAATATTTATTTTTTCTTTTTTTATCTTTCTATTAAAATTCTGGTAATGCTTTAAAAAATAAATATTTTTTTAAAGATTTTATTTTATTGATGGCCATCGGCATCGGCAGTAAGTTAAGTATAACAATCGGCATCGGCCCATCGACAAAATTCAGCCATCGGTCGAGTCCTAGTGTTTTTTAGTTTAGTTATACAAATTAATATAGAGGATGGTCCAAAATTAATAAGATATATTAATATATCGCGCATGGGCGACAACAGTGTCATAAGTCAAAAAAACTAAATTTTGGGGTTTTTAGTGCAATAAGTGTAAAATTACTCATAGTTTATGCTGCAACAGTGGCATAAAAATATATTTAAAATTAATCCCTAGATGAAGACTTGTGTCTGTCTGCAATTTGTATAATCCATATAATAATTTTCATCAACAGTGTCATAAAGTTAAGGTAGTCAACAATAAAATAATTAACAAGTGACGCTCCTCACCTAAAGGCAAAAGGTCGTGTGTCTAGGGTCTCGTTTAATGCGTTCGTACTTTCATAGTGCTACCACCGCTATCGGTGTTCAAATTCAAAAAATCAATTAATGATTCTACACGTGATCTACCAGAAGCAAGTGCAAGAAGGGTGCAAATTGCGTGTGGCACCTCCTCCTGAATTAAGTCCCAAAGTGCTCTACCTGTGAAAAAGAGTGTGAGGTAGGTGATTGGATACAACGAATAATTTTTCCTGGATTACCAACACAGAAAGAACACGTGCTAATAATAATCCACGTCAACGCCAAAGACCAAATGATCAAATAATTCTGAATTATTTTAATAACAATCGGAAAGTAAGTTTAAGAAAGGCTAGCTTAGATTTAAATATTTCAAAAGAATCCTTAAGAAGATGTTTAAAAATGAATAAAGTAAAACCTTACAAGCCTAAATTTTTACACACTCAACTGCCAGGGGATAATGAAAGAAGATTGGAGTTCTGTCTATGGGCACAGGGCGAATATCTCAATAACCCAATTTTTTTTAAACATGTATTATTTACTGATGAAGCAACCTTTACTACTAATGGAGTAGTCTCATCTCAAAATATGTCTGTAAATTGGATTATTAATAGTAGAAGTCAGTACTCACAAAAAGTAAACGTGTGGTGCGGTATTCTAAAAGATAGGGTCATAGGACCTTTCTTTTTAAATGGAAATCTAAATGGTCAAAGTTTTTAAGAATTTCTTCAGGAAGAAGTTACAAATGCTTTGGACAATTTAACCCTTAATTATCATAGAAACCTTTATATTCAATTAAACGGCTGTCCGATTCATAATTCAGTTAATGTGAGGCAATGGTTAAATTTAAAATTTGAAAATAAATGGATAGGTCGCAATAGCCCATTAATCGAATGGCCTCCTAGGTCTCCCGATCTCATTTAGATTTTTTTTTATGGGGTACCATAAAAAACAAAGTTTATAAATTACGTCCTCAGAACAATGCAGATCTTGAAGCCGGCATACGCAACGCCTGTGAGGAAATAACTCCACAGCAATTGAGAAGAGTCCAAAAGAATATTTTACGTAGATTTAATAAGTGTATTGAATTAAATGGTGGACTAGTGGAAGCTTCCCGGGTTTAGTTTTCTTTTTTATGTTCTATTGCTCGTTATAAAATATTGTTTAAAAAAATTAATAAACTTAGGTAACAACCTCATAAACAGAGTTTTATTGGACGTTTGTTTGAAGTTACTAGCATAGCTATCTTAGTTTTTGCTTTGTAGCAATTTATGACTAATATTAATTATTTATTTTTGATGAAATTTGGTAGGTATATACTACCGTTAACACCATAAAGTCCCACTTTAAAATTTGATTTTTAAACATGAATTTATCTCCTGGCTGTTGGGTGTGTAAAAATTTTGGTTTTACTTTACTAATTTTTAAACATCTTCTTAAGAATTTCTTTAAAATATTTAAATCTAAGCTCGCTTTTCTTAAACTTACTATTCTTATTATCTGAAGATTGTCATTAAAATAATTCAGAATTACACTGTGCGACAATTTTCGGGTCATCGAAATCAAACCGCACCGGACCATTTTTTTCTGAAAATATACCTATCCAATAGCAAAACCCTCGCTGGGTTTGTAAAAGTTAGCTCGAATTTTTTTTTTATGGCCGTTTGTATTTTCGAGCTTTATATACCCCAATTTAGACCTATAAATCGATTTTTTTTCGCATATATTCGACTTATATCGTCAAGATTTTTTGTAGAAATGTAGATACTGCACAAATAAACCCATTTTGTGAACAACCTTTATCCCAAAAACCCAATTTTTTTCGAAAATATTTTTTTTTTAATTTTTTTGATAATATTTAAAATTTCTTGCTACTTCTTCTGGCAAAAATGTTGTAAAGTCTACTAAAAGAAGTAATTTATAAAATACGCACACAAAACTGAACTTTAAGTTTGCTTATTTGCTGGAAAATAATGTTTAGGTAAACAATATTTTCCAAAATATTCATCTTTTCACACTTAACACCAAATATTTTGCCGAAAAATCTGTAGGAAAAAATTGAATAGATAAAATAGAATTGTAGAAAAGTACAGAGAGTTTGATTTTTTATTTTGTATTAATTTTATTATTAAAAAACTTTTTTATATCAAAACATTGAGTAATCTGATTCATCCCTTTTACTTCTTCTTCTTTATTTCTTTGCTCTTCATTTTCATTTTTTGATTCATCACTGGAGAATTTCATCCCTTCCACTTCTTCTCCTTTATTTTCTTGTTCTTCATTTTCATTTTCTTCCTGATCGTAGTCAAAAATATGTTTACTTCACCAAAATGTTTCGGCATCTGGAGCTCGTTTTGCTCTTTATCTGGACTCAAATGGCATCGCAGTTTGATGATTGTGTCGATAACTGTCGACTGAAGTAGTCCAAATGGCGATGAGGGAAATGAATTTTTAGCGACATATTGACTCCAATTTTGGAAAAAACATCCAACATTCGTCGCATCCTTCATAATTGGGAGAACGATGTTTGCCTAAAAGTCCAATGATGATGTCTCTCTGTCAAAGTCTTTATACTTTACCAATTTCCGAATATCAGAACCATTTAAAACGCCTGAAATGAAATGAATATAAAAAATATATGAAATGAAGGGATGGAATTCTCCAGTGATGAATCAAAAAATGAAAATGAAAAACAAGAAAATAAAGGAAAAGAAGTGGAAGGGATGGAATTCTCCAGCAATGAATCAGATTACTCAATGTTTTGATATAAAAAAGTTTTTTAATAAAAAAATTAATACATAATAAAAAATCAAACTCTCTGTACTTTTCTACAATTCTATTTTATCTATTCAATTTTTTCCTACAGATTTTCCAAAGATTTCGGCAAAAAATTTGGTGTTGAGTATGAAAAGATGAATATTTTGGAAAATCTTGTTTAAAAATTGTTTTCCAGCAAATAAGTAAACTTAAAGTTCAGTTTTGTGTGCGTATTTTATAAATTACTTCTTTTAGTATACTTTACAACATTTTTGCCAGAAGAACTAGCAAGAAATTTAAAATATTATCGAAAAATTGAAAAAAAAATAATTTTTCGAATATTTGGTCCCAAAATTTGGGTTTTGGGATATAGGTTGTTCATAAAATGGGTTTATTTGTTCAGTAACTACATTTCTACAAAAAATCTTGACGATATAATTCGAATAAATGCGAAAAAAATCGATTAATAAGTCTAAATTGGGGTATTTGAAGCTAGAAAATACAAACGGCCATAAAAAAATAAATCGAGCTAACTTTTACAAACCCAGCGAGGGTTTTGCTATTGGATAGGTATATTTTCAGAAAAAAATAGTCCGGTGCGGTTTGATTTTTGGTGTTGCACAGTGTTATTTGATCATTTTGTCTTTGCTGTTGACGTGGATTATTATTTCCTTAATTCTTTAAAACCATACCAGTTTCATTAAATAGCTTATTGATTTTAAAAAAGTACTACTGCTTATAGGCTGCCTTTCAGGTTGCCTATTATTAAATTCTCTGCTTCTCTCGCTGAACGATCGTTATCTCCTACTAAACGGACAATAATTGTCCGTTTAGTAGGAGATAACGAAATTATTTCAACTTTGTGCTCTAAAAACTGATGGGCCATAATGATTGTAGATGAGATCTTTTAAATACACTGTTAAAAAATACACAAAAAGGACGCTACTATTTTCTGTAAAATCGCCTGTTTTTGGTTTGACGTTTGTTTGAAGTTGTAAGCATAGCTATCTTAGTTTTTGTTTTGTAGCAATAATTAATTATTAATGATTATAACGTAAAAAAATAAACTTGCCCAAAATAGTTATTAATTGTTTATTTTTAATGAAATTTGGTATATACCTAGGGTTGCCACCCGTCCTCCTTCGTGGAGGACAGTCCTCTTTTGATCATGTCCTTCGTACTCCTTTAAATGATATATGTCCTCCTTTCTATGTATTTTATTGTGCTCTGGCAAAAATATTTTTCTCGATAAACCAATAAAATAACAGGCTTGCAAACAATACAAAATGATGTTGGTCGGTATCTATATGGCAGGTTGCCTAGTGCTTTTTAAAATGCGTTATGAATATTCACTAGGAATGTTCTTAGATGGTGCTTGAAAGTTTTAGAGGATCATTCTATGGAATATTCCCAATGAATATTCCTAGAATATTTTCAAACCTTCATTGCAGTCTGGGTTATTTACTCAGTATACATATATGTTATTATTTTTATCTGACTGCAATGCTGTTTTGTTTTTGTTATAAAAATGTATTTATTTAACATTAGGTAGGTATAATAGGTAATTATTAGTTTAATGTTCTAGTTAATAAAGTTAATATAGCAAGGAATTGGTCCTTGGTCATTTCTGTTGAACTTGTTTTGATTTTGATTTTGGAAACGCCCCCTTTTTTTGGAAAAATTTTCGCGGCGGGCTTTTTCCATGTCCTCCAACCCCAGGCTTAAAAGGTGGCAACCCTATATATACCCATTTTAAAGCCTGCCAAACTCGGTAGCGTACCTATTTTTTTCCTAAACCTTTTATATGTGTTTCTATTGTCGTTATAAACATTTAAAAAATCAATAAATAAACCGTTGTAAAATAATTATCAATCAATTGTTTTTAATGAAATTTGGTATTTACCCATTTTTAAGCATGCCAAATTCAGTGGCGTACTTATTTTTTTCGTAAAAATTACCCTAAATGTTTTTTTTTTAATTTTGACACAGAAAAAAAATTATAGTAGGCATGTGTCGGGTGACTTTGAAAACAACTTTAACAGCTCTAATAGAGTTTTTTTATTCCCTATCTTTTGAGCCTTTGTACAATAAAATCGGGTTACAAATAAAAAAGTTACGGGGGTGTTTCCATCTTAAGTGGGCCACACTGTATATACCTATACAGGGTGTTATGTAATTAATGTTATATATTAAAATGGGTAGTTCCTTAGGGTCCATAAAGAAGCACCTGAAACTTTTTTTTTCTAAATTCCCAAGACTAGAAATAATTTATAATAACCTTTATCCTACCAAAAAGTACACCACTGATCGACTAGGAACCGCGAATTAACCTTACCTATTACTTTTTAATGCAGTGTTGCCAAATGTAAAATTAAAAATCAACATCTTGATTTTTCTGTATATACCAATGGCAAAATTCCAACCGCAGTGCATAATCTCCATCCTGAAGAGCTTGAACTTTTTGTAGGTGATAGGGGTACAAACTATTTTCGTGAATCGTGCGCCACGTAACAAAGTTGGACATTTGTCCAAGTTGGGCAGTTAATCGTCTTGTACTAATTCTCAGATTTGCTTCCACTTCGTCCAAAATTTGCTCTTCAAGGGCCACAAATTCACGTCCCTGAGCCCGACCCCTATCACCAACAAATGCGCTAAATCTTCCGCGGTCCCTTAAATTTTGCACAGCACGTAACACAACCATATTTGTTAATTGAATATTTGTGAGCGCCCGACCCGCCATAGCATAAAATCTTTCGCACTAATTACTTATTATTATTATACTAATAAAATACAAATTTTCAAACTTTCAAAATATTTATAAAAGAATAAACGGCCATTTCAAGCGCGCGAAACGCACGAATTACAAAACTGTTTTTATAAAAAAAATTGTAGATTATTTATTATATAAAATTTTGGCATCAAAATTGGCAAAAATATTCTTCTTTTATTAGGTTATACATTAAATAAAAAAAAACTCAAGAATTATTTTATGAAAGTAGATATAATTTTAATAATTGAAAGGTGTGGACGGGACAAAAAAAAGATTTATCTTGTCCCGTCCATCCCTGTCAATTATTGAAATTTTCTCTACTTTTATAAAATATTTCTTGCGATTTTTTTTATTTAATGTATACCCTTATAATAGAAGAATTTTTTTGACAATTTTGATGCAAAAATAATATATAATAAATTAGCTACAATTTTTTTTATAAAAACAGTTTTGTGATTTGTCCCGTCCATCCGCTTGAAATGGCCGTAAAAACCTGAAAAAACTTGAAAAAAATAAAAACCTGAAATCGCTAGATCACTAATTAGTCCTTGTAAAAATTTGTAAACTAATGATTTTTTAAAAATCGTTGTAACATTGTGATTTAAAAACATACTTATATAAAATATATTTAAATTTAGACACACCAGATTTAAAATTTATTCATAATTCGTAATGATTTACTTTACTTTAAGTTAATCTGGTTTAATTTATTGTTATGGTTGGTAACACATTCTGTCAATTTTTTGAGGGTTAGGTTATGTGCTCAAATTGTAAATATCTTAACTAAGGGAAGTGCTTTTGGGCGTTTGGATTTATTTACACAAATTAAATGTTTAACGATTTACCTGTGAACTTGTCCTAATTTCATCTGAGTAAACAGAAAGAAAAAAACCGATGAAAAAATTAATTTTATGGAGATTTTAAATAGGTACTAATTTTTCTTATCATTGCTTAAGTTAATAGCTGGATGAGTAAATAATTACAGAATGGTATTAGAGCTTTAAGGGCATAAAACTTTTGTATTTATTGAGTTTTTATTTATTTTATGCAAGAAAATTTTTTAGTAAAAATCTTTTACAACTGGCAACGCGCAGCTACTTTGTTGGTTTGTATCTATGTACTCAAAGAACACAAGTGTGTAACCAGTGGCGTATCACAAAATATATAAAAAACTTCTAATGCATATATTTTCTTTATCTTTGGGAAAATATCTTTAAAAATATTTTTCCATTACACCTTATCGTCGCCTTCAGGAGAAAATTGCTTAACTCCATGTTGTAAAATTTTACAGGAGGAAAGAAAAACATATTAAAGGTGTATTGGTGTATCTCCACATTACCGCCAAAAAATTGTTTAATGGAAAATTACGTATCTCCAATCTGTACTTTATGTTAATAAAAGTAACCTTAAATTATTCATGGTACCTTAACTTTACACACTATACAATCTTTCATACTTACTTTTAACAAATTTCACTTTGGAAAACAATGGCTTTACAGAAAAAATAACTAGGCAATAACTTATACTTGTCAATGGCACTGATTTGTATTCTGGAGTTAGGCATTATTCCCTGGACGCTCCTCCACGATTGGAGATACGTATATTTCTTTTTCTAAATTTAAAATTAACGGTTTATTTTAGGACTTCTGTAACTTGCATATAAATTAGTTACAGTTTTATCTAATAGATGCCACTAAAATACCATTTTAATGAAAATGTGGAGTTACGTGATTTTCTCCTGAAGGCGACGTTATGTCAAAAGGTATTCAGTATTTTAATATATAACATTAATTACATAACACCCTGTATATATATATATATATATATTTCCTTGCTATCATATTATTTCCTTGTACTTTTAGATCAATGACAATATTTTCACATTATCATTTAAATTTAGAACCCCTGAAAATGTGCAAAGCATAATGTATTTTGCTTTTACATATCCTTTTACTTATGTTGAACTTGAAAAAATGTTTCTTACAATTGACAAAAGATTTACAAACGTTCAACCAACATGTGAAGATGATATTTATTATGTAAGAGAAACTGTTTGCCAATCATTAGATGGGAGAAATATTGACTTAATTACAATATCGTCGTATCACGGAATGACAGACAAGAGGGAAGACAGATTAAAACAGCTATTTCCCGATGAAAAAGTTGCCAGACCTTTTAAGTTCGATGAAAAAAAGGTAAGGTGTTTGCCATTAAAAAACATTTTTTTTTTCAAATATATTGTTTTAGGTTATTTTCATATCAGCTAGAGTACATCCAGGTGAAACACCTTCAAGTTTCGTTTTCAATGGTTTAATAAACCAATTATTGTGCCGGGACGATTTAATTGCAATTCATTTAAGAAAATTGTATGTGTTCAAACTTATACCTTTTTTAAATCCAGATGGGGTTGCCCGTGGACATTACCGTACTGATACCAGGGGGGTCAATCTCAACAGGGTCTACATGCAGCCAGACTTTAAGGAACACCCTTCTGTATATGCAGCTAGAGCTTTAATAAGGTAATAAAGCATGTTTACTTATCTTTTTTTCTCCCTGCATAAATATTACAATATTAATTGTGGATTGTAGGAGAAAACAAAACAGGTTATAATTTTTTAAAAGCTATTCAATAAGAGTATTATCAAAATAACGTTATTAAAGCCTTCTGTATAAGTACCATGGACATAACCCATGTGACACGACTATAATAATATTTAAAATTCGTAAAACATAGATGTCAGATTTTTTTTTATTTTTAAAAATCATATAATGGTCTACTTATTGGAGTAGATAAAGTATAGTATTCTGCCGTGCTTAATGAAAACGCCCTAACCAACAATTTTGCGATTTTTGTTTTACGGCATTTTCTACTAGAACAATTCATCCTGTGTCTATCCCCAAAAAACCGTATTTATATATATACGTTTTTTTGAGTACCGGGGATAGACACAGGATGAATTGTTCTAGTAGAAAATGCCGTAAAACAAAAATTATTCACCCTGATGATTTGAGTTTCGTCTATTATTTACTCCACCATTGATAAGCTGTGACTTTATGGCGTTTTAGTCACGGGCTGAAGTTAGCTTTATTATAAATTGCAAAAAAGTGAGGTTAAATTCGTCAAATGTCAAATATTTATGAATTACTCTTATTTCTGTTCGTCGTATATAAAGTATAGTATGCAACTCGTTTTATAAACTTCTCTATACACTCTGCCTAATAAAACTCGTAACTAAAATAGCGTTTATAAAACTTGATACATAATATAGTATTATCTACACCTACATTGACGAGGTGTGACTTTATGGCGTTTTAGTCACGGTCTGAAGTTAACAACAGTGGCTTTTGGGCATTTTACTCACGGGCTTTAGCTTTATTATAAATTGCGAAAAAGTGAGGTTAAATTCGTCAGATGCCAAATATTTATGAATTACAATTGACTTTAAATTCGTATTTCTGTTCGTCGTAGAAAAAGTAGTATGCAACTCGTTTCATAAACTGCTCTAGACACTCGTTTTTATGAAACACTCGCTCGCAAGCTTTGCTCGTGCCTAATAAAACTCGTAACTAAAATGGATTTTATAAAACTTGATACATAATATACTATTATGGACTCTGGGGTGTCCGTTATTTACCAACTTGTTTTTTTTTGCAGCGCCCCCTAAATTTTTAGTTTAACCTAAAAAAATTCAGACTCATATTATATGAGTCATATAAGCCCTTATAGGTATACGCTAAAAAAGTATCGGCGCGCGCCATCTGGTGGACTTCGATAGCAGCATGTGAATTTTAGAATTGTCAACAATACATTTAAAGCATACGAATTGCACATCATTTTTAAATAAATAGGTAGTTTATTCACAAAAGGGAGAAGGCAGAAGTCTTAGTGCTCATTCATAATGGACGTAACCATAAGATGAACGTAAAACGTAAACATAATATCACCATAATTTGTACGTAACGATGAGTTGTGTTTATAATGAACGTATGCCTTATGTATATATTAATAAGGCGCGCATGTCCAAGTTCACTAAAATGGCAGCATTAACAGATTTCGTCTAATTATTACCTATGTCTTAAAACTTAAAAGTTTTTAGTAATAATTATAAATATAAATTAAGTTAAAACTATCAGTGTTATGGTTCTTTAGATTGTTTGTTTTGTGGATACACCAGAATACACTTGAAAAAGATCTGTCATCTGTTTGCATAGCTACTACCCTGATTGCTACCAACAATGTTCTAGTGAAATCATGAAAATTACTAAAATTCACACATAAGAAACCCGTAAAGTTGAGATGATTTCAACTTTACGTATTTTTTACGGTCACCCGTAAGATCTTATGTTCGAACGTAATACGTAAAAATTACGGCTATTCATTATAAACAGACACACTGGTTTTGTTAATATTCAACTTTACGTTTTACGTATTTCTTACGGGCATCTTATGGTTACGTCCATTATGAATGAGCACTTACTCGACAAATTTTGTCCAATTGCACAGCTAAATCGCGCACGTTATTTGTGTTTTACATTGCAAGGAAAAAACTAAAAAACTGGTTTAATACTCGTTATCATTGATTAAGAAACTCGACGCTTAAATGCTTGTATAGTTACGTTAGTGTGTGTATTTTATCTAAGGGATCATGGTGAATTATTGTGTTTTTAATTGTAAATAAAATTTAAGAACTAAATCGTTGCTTTGTCATGTTTTTCCAAAGGATCCAATTCTGTAATTACATTTGTTGGTGCAAAATTAACTAATGATAATTTCACCTAATCTAATTTATATTTAAGTTTGGACATTTTTAAGAAATTAGTAAAAAAAATTTGTTGCACAAACATAACCTCAAAAATCGAACATTTTTATATTCTCTAAAAGTTCTCTAAAAAACGCCGTCAACTACATTTTAAAGAACTAAATAAACCTACGAACTCATTTCCACATAATATTATATATAAAACATAATATAATGGTATTTTATCGTTGAGTGGAGACTTTATTAAACAACGCTTTTAATAACACTGTAGGTAAATTTTCAACTTTTGAAATATCACAGCTAAACGCTCGTGCACATAAACATATTTTTTGGTCATAGATTCCAAATCCGTGATCGGTTTAGCTGTATCAGGTCTAAAAAAGTTTTTTTTCTATTTCTACTGATACTTATATTATAATTTTTAAAATAATATATTTCACCTCTTGTGCCAACATTCCCATGCTTTTTATTTTGTTTAATATAATATCCTTAATTATGCTCAATAAAATAAAATCAACAAAAAAACATTTTGAATTTCCTAAATTATCTAAGAAAAACCCTCAGGGACACGTGTTCCTTTTGATCAATTTACTTCAAATTTTGCAAGACTTTGTTTTTTTTTTAAATTTAAAACTGATGTGTGGGTCCAGCCAAATTGATTTTTTTTAAATTACAGGGTGTTTAAATTTATACAGGGTGTTTCCAATATCTTTTAATTTTGACCTGATACAGCTAAACCAACCACGGATTTGTAATCTACGACCAATGATCAAGTTTTCGTGTCCGAGCGTTTAGCTGTGATATTTTCACCTCCCTACATTGTAAGGCTAAATGCTGTTTGAATTTAAACGACTTATTTGTTTGGCGATTTTTACTAAATTGAAATGTTTACACTTTTCACGTAAATCATTACTAAAATGTGTATTTATTGTATCTAATTGATACAATTTAAATTTATAGGGACTCTATGAAATTTAATTCTTCATTCGGATTAACACTGTTTATTGGAAAACCGCTAAAAACTCAACCCAGGATTTCCTCTCAAAATACACCCAACAACACAACAAATCGTGCCACGGTTTTTTTTTCCGATATTTTTTAACATTTTCCGGCTTTATTCTCAAAAACATTCGTTTGTAACATAAGCGTTTAACAGCTGATTATTAAAAATTTGTACTTTTGTTACGATGATAGCGGCCGAGTTGTGGCGCTAAGTTGGTAAATAACGGACACCCTAATGTACTCCCACAAAGACAAGCTGTAACTTTATGGAGTTTTAGTCACGGCTAAGATCAAATATACTTTTAAAAGTGGGCTGAAGTTAACTTTATTTTAAATTGGTGAGTAGTGAGGTTAAATCCATTGACAATTGCCAGATGTCAAATGTCTAACAAATAAAATTGGATTTAAATTATTTGTGTTCGTCGTAGATAAAGTATAGTATGCAACTCGTTTTATAAACTTTTCTAGACACTCGCTCGCAAGCTTCGTCCGTGCCTTATAAAACTTGATACATAATATTATATATCCGAAATCGCAGTAAAGTAGAACTTTACTGCCGATTTAATGCGAGTATTGTATGCAACCCATTATACATTTTAAGATGTCTCTACTGCTCCTCATCAGCAACTAAAAATATTAAAAAAAAGCACCGTCGCGGAGGTCGATTGGACCCTTTCATAAAATGTTGTTTAATAAAAATAATAAGGTAATTTTATTAATTTGATTAAAAAATCGCCGCGGCGGGCAAATATATTCCCTACATTCAAATGACATTTGATTTGATCATCAAATGACATTTGATTTAATCATCAATATTAATTATTAGTATCATTAAATGTGATTTCGGATTAAATTTCTTATGCACCTCGGCATTAAAGTCATTTTTTATCACTCACGTGGTTATTTGCCTCGGCTTTTGCCACGGCAAATAATTTCCACATTCGTGATAAAAAATACGACTTTACTGCCTTGATACACAAATAACTATTTTTATATAATTTACAGATACTACCATTATGGTTTTGAAAAAGAGGACGTGATAATAACCTGTGACAAATGCGAATTGCTAAACCAAATCGATAAGGAGTCAAAGGAAGACCAAAATAACGTGCATAACGATAAAATCAGTAAAAAAGTGTCGCACATGACGCTCGAGGAGGGCGACAAAAAACCGGCCCTGTGGTGCGGCAAATGTAAGGCCAACATAAAAAAATTAGAGGAGAATATGCCGGGCATATCCGATCTAATACCAACATTAAACGTTAACAATTCTCTAGGCGATCAGTTTTGCCGGCAGTGCGGAGAAAAAATTGAAGAAGAAATCGAGACGAGCAAAGTGACTTGTCACGGGGATTTTACCACAATGGAATCGGGTCTGTTTTTGTATATGGACTTGCATGGTCATGCGTCAAAAAAAGGCATTTTTATGTATGGAAATTACTTTGAAGATACTGAAAAAAGCGTCGAATGCATGTTATTGCCAAAGTTGATGAGTATTAACAATCACAATTTTCATTTCAATTCGTGTAATTTTACCGAAAGAAACATGTTTTTGAAGTAAGTCGCACTGGTATTTAGAATTGGGTCCTGTAGAGAGACCTACATGTTTACGATTTCTTTTTATAATACATTTTTAATAGTGTATTGTACATTTTTGTAAGAAATGCATTGTTTCACGAACTTGTTGCACTATTATATACTATTTTTTATGTACCAATTAGCTTGATTTTGACTATTTTTGAATTAGTTGGTTTTAGTACATTCACTAGGGTTATTCTCTCAGATGGAACTGAACAACAAAGTATTGTTTAAAATGTGAACCAAAATGTATTTTTTACAAGAATTCTAATATTCTCGCATTTTTGGGCAAATGTCAAACTTTTTTACAGTGTTGTTTTATAACGGGTGATTCATTTAGACATTTTTTTAAATTCTAAATAAATGCCTAAAATGGAATTGGATGGCGGAATCTTTATTTGGGGGCCGTTTCTCAACTTAAAGGAGCTTCTAATATTTCGGATAGTTTCGAATCAGTCGCCATTTAATTAGCAGGCACAATGTCATTCATAAATAGCGCGAGTTACTGAACTGTTCTTTCTCAGGGACGCGACCGAGGGGTAAATCACTTTAAAATCAGCGAAACCAACGTTCAACGTTATGTGGACGTTGTTTTATGATTTTTCCTTATAATTCATCAATCAATTGGGAAAAATTATTATCAAAAAGAAATTTCTCTTATCGACGCGTTGCTAATGACCACCCTTTTGATTGTTATCCTTAGCCGTTAAAGCTAAATTTTCATGTATCCGTTTGTCCGTTATCCGTTTGTCCGTTTTTCAATAAAATGGTCCGACAAGAAATTTTCTAATTTTCATGCATCCGTTTTTTAATGACGTTAAAGGGATTGTTTTGGCGACAAATATAAATTAAGGGCCAGTATATTCACTAAATTTACCTAATGCTTAATTGTCAATAATTGTAACTTTAACAGTTATCTGTCAAATAAATTTAAAGGAAGGTAAATATACTATATAAAAAGAATATACCTACTAGCCTTAATATACATTATAATGTATAGTTTTGAAAAAGCAGGTCCTTTTCGTTCTGGTTTTAATATTTTTTTATTTGTCTATTAAAAAATAAAGACATAACAGTAGAACATTATTCACATAACGAACGTAATTACTCCGTTTACAATCATATTTAAAAATATATAAATGATTTGAAAATAAATTATCTTAAAATAACGTTAGGCGTCAAAAATGGATGTCTAGGGACGGATGAGTAAAAATTATTTTAACTTTCTCCGTCAGACGTACGAAGTTGAAACTTGACGGACCGATGAAATGTAATAATTTTTGAATTATATTGGACCAATAAGTTATTGGCAATAACAGCGCTTCCGGATGATCGGACTAACGGACAAACGGATACATGAAAATTAAACTTAATTCGTTTGCGATTTTTAATTTTTTAAAATCAGTGGTTTACCCCTCGGTCGCGACTCAAATTTGAGTCGCAAAAGAATATATGGGGCAGTCCACGCCAAATCGGGTCGATAGAGGAACTAAAGTAATGGAGAAATCTAAAATTTAACCTCTTTTATGCAGTTTTGTAGGTTTTACAAAATAAACCAAAAAAAATTATCACTTCTCTTATTTTTCGATTATTTAAAAACCCGAAAGACAAAAAATTTCGAAAAAAATCATAGAAACATATTTTTGACGCTCTTTAAGATAAAATAAAAATAAAAAAATTTTGTTCAAAAATTCTCAAAAAAATCTAATTTTTTTTATTAAAATTTAAATTCCCAAAGAACGCCACCTCAAATTAAATTAACAAAAAATCATGATGATAGCCCTAAGTTTTCCGCAAATTTAGTAGGTGAGGACGGGCATTTAAAATAAATATTCAGTGCTCCCTTAATCTTTTGAAGTCTACTTTCAAGGTCACAACAATTTTGAGTCATTTAAACATGGAGCGTACCCAAGGAGTCTGAACTTAATAGGGGAAATTTCTAAGCTTTTAAATCTGGATAAAATTAACTTAATAATGGATTACACATTTTTTTAAATTTTCAGAAAATAATATGCAAACATGTAAAAAAAAACCACTTAATTATGCTTTAATTAACTAATATTGTGCCATTTTATTAACATTTTAAATTTGGTCTGAACCCAATGTTCCCTAACCCCAAAACATGCTTCTAAGTACTATGCTATCCTTAATCAGGGAATCTAAATACGCTCAATTTGTAGGGATAAACGTGATGGTATGAGTAGAGCCGGTTCAGGTCGTGTTTCCGTTTTAGCTTTAACAGGACTTATTAGAAGTTATACTTTAGAATGCAATTACAACACTGGAAGACTTACTAATATACTGCCGCCCACTATTAGGGAACCCAGTGAAAAAGTTCACTCATTACCTGTGCCACCTAAGTATACACCATTAATATTTGAAGAGGTAAGAAACAAGTTTTAACTAATAATTGTTTTTTTATAAGCTTGTAGCAAAAACATTTTTTTTATTTTAAAAAGGTGGGGTAGGTACTTTTTCAAACTAAAAAATTTAAATAAACCGGTTTGGAAAATTTGATTGGAATATTTTGTAGCCTGTTCTGCTTTAGGTTTCCACGGGCGTTATATGTATTAATGGTTTTCCGGGATCTGCTCCGTGTTGTCAGTTTTTGGTTCTTAAAATAACCGTATGTCGACGACGTTTCGGTACAATCTCATGTACCATCTTTAGGTATTATCTGCTGTTGCGGCTCTGCTGCGAGTTAGACCAGCAGATAAGACGGTACATATGTTATATTCACTTAATTAAAATTCACTTTTTAAAAAAAGATTTTTATTTATTACGATACATTAAAGTTCTAGCAAGCTTAGTTAAAATATAATTATTTTATGTGTTACATTTTGTTTTTATTCTAAATATTATTTTGCTGACTCCGTGGGATCGCCGCTTCTTGGTGTATCTCTTGTAATATGAGAAATATGGAATGTTGGTGTTATCTTTGTACTTGCTGATAAGGTGTTGGTGGATGATATAACAGCTCCCCCTTATAAAGAAAAGTCGATGCTATAGCATTGACTTTTATTAAGATAATTTTTCTGAAAGGTTGATTTCTTCGATTGGTTATCCTAGGTGAAAGGAGTTAGGTCTTTTTGGAAGCAGATTTGTCCATGGTTGCTGGACACTTTCTGGTAGCCTTGGTCTTGGTGCTGGAGGAGAGTCATTATTGAAGTTGGTTACAATAACGGGAGTACGCCTTTTTGGTTTGAATTTATACAGGCTGTAGATTGTAATTAGTATTGTGTTTACGCTTGGCCCATATATTATAAATTATCTGTTTAACAAGTGCATAATATTTACAAGTAAAAGCAATTACCAAGAAAAGGGAGAATCAATTCTGCTATGACATCTGGAAGATATTAGCCGTCAAGTGGCTGCAACGCCCTCCCCTTTTTGGGGTATTTTCTACCTAGACTTTAGTATTTTAACATTAAGATTTTAAACTTAGTCATATACACAACCATGTTAAAATAAAGTTTTGTTTTTTGTTAAACCATCTTTTAATCGCGCAACATACTCAACATACTCAACGCAACGAACATTATGGTCCTTCGAACCGGATAGTAAAAAATCTAAGTGAAAATAAAAACAAGTGATTATTCACATAAACAATTAAAATTCAAATCATCAATCATCGAAAAGTTTTGTGAGTGTAACAAGGACAAGGGTTTAAAAAAAGTGACTTACGCGAGTGCACACAACAAGCATCTCTAGAAATCAAGACATTAAACGCAATTACTCATCAGCAAAGGATTATCACTCTAACAACATTTTACATCTGGACCCTAGAAGCACGAAGCCCAAACTCAACAGTAGCCAACTACATTACAAATCATCAGGTGAGGTCGTTCCTCTCATACATTCATTAGTGCTAATTTGTTGTCGCTCCAATTTGGGATTTTTAACGGAAAGTTTTCTAGAGCTAGGGTTGTGCAATGCAATCTTATTAAATCATAATCATATGCATCATTAACATAACACAATTTTACGCATTTTAATCATCGCAATTCATTATTTCATTAAATTTATCATTAATCAAAAAAGCTCGCAAAATGTCAGTTCTCACATCATTTTCTTTAGAAGAATTAAAAAGAAAACGTGGCGCCCTTAAGGCTAAAGTCACACATTTTGTAAAATATTTAGCAAGCATCCAAGAAAGGAATGATCATCTCGCTGACGTAGACATTCTAACCTTGCAAGAACGTTTAAATCATTCAAAAAATATAATTTTCGAGTTTGAAAACATACAGGGTTTAATTGAAGACAAAACAACCGACGAAAGTTTATTGCAAATCGAATATGAAGAGCGCGATACATTCGAATCTAATTTTCATATGCAAATAGCAACAGCAAAACATATCATAAAAGAATCTACCTTATCTTTAGACAATGAGTCCGGAACTAATTTAATTACGAGCAACCCTGTACACAGCCCTCATGAAAACAATACTTTCAAATTTGCAGGCATAAAATTAAAACCCATTGAAATTCCCAAATTTAACGGTTCTTACCAAAATTGGTTAGAATTTGCGGATTTATTTGAATCGTTAGTGCATAAAAATGAGGCCTTGGATAACATTCAAAAATTTCATTACTTAAGATCATCCTTGGAAGCTGGTGCCGCACAAGTTGTCCGTTCCATTGAATTCACAAGCAGCAACTACATTGTAGCTTGGGATCTTATTCGCGAAAGGTATGATAACAAACGCCTTTTAGTACTAAATCATGTAAAATCACTTTTTAACGTAGAACCAATGCATAAAGAATCATCATACAAATTACGCAATTTAATCGACACTTACTCTAAACATCTACATTCCCTAAAACAAATGGGCCAACAAACCGATCACTGGGACGTATTACTTATTCACATTATAACAACCAAACTAGATTCATCCACTTTACGCGAATGGGAAAACGCCAAGTCAAACGCTAATAAAGAGGTACCTACATTTTATGATCTTAAAACATTTTTAAAGTCCCGCGCAGATTTATTAGAAACTTTAGAAAATAATCAAGCAGACAAAAGGTCTCATTACCACAATTCATACAATAATAATTTAAGAGGGGCATTTAATCACACACGCAGTCATTATTCATCTCACCATACACCAAACTCACATTGTAATTCAATAAAACACCCTGTAAATCAAAACAAGAATTTTAACAATGCGCCTCAAGGCTTGGTTTGTCCCATATGCAAAAATTCCCATATAATATATAATTGCAAGGATTTTATGAATTCATTACCGAGTGAAAGATGCGAAAAGGCAAAAAATGCGCATTTATGCGTTAATTGTTTAAAACTTGGCCACGACAGCAGAAATTGTCGTCACATTATTTCTTGTAAGACATGTAACGGGCGGCATCACACATTATTACATATTAATCGCGTTCAAGGCAATGATCGCTCACGTGAAACTACCTCTAATCCTGTCGTTTTAACCCCAATCGAGCCATCTACTTCGTTAACAAATTGTTCATTCTCTAACAACACGGTACAATGCCAGGTAATCTTACCAACCGCTCTAATAAACGTTTATGACAGGTACAATAAAATGCATACAGCCAGAGCACTTCTGGATTCCGGCTCACAAAGTTCATTTTTATCTGCCGAATTGCATAATAAATTAGGTATTGCAACCGAGCAGGTTGATTGGACAGTGTCCGGCATAACAAATATTTCACGCAAATTAGATGAAAGGTGCAATTTAAAATTATCATCTAAAATAAACGATTTTTGTGCACAACTACAGTGCTTCATTGTTCCCCAGATTTCGGGTCATCTACCGTCTGCGCCCTTAAATACAAAAAATTTAAACATTCCAGAGAACTTGCCGTTGGCAGACCACATGTTTGCTAAACCCCAAAAAATCGACATCCTTATCGGAAGTGACCTGTTTTGGAGCCTTGTGGGTCAAAACACCTTTAGTCTAGGTAAAAACAAACCAATAATGCACCAAACATTATTCGGTTGGGTTATAGCAGGGCCGTACTTTGTGCCATTTCCAGCGCGCAACGAAGTAAAGTGCAATTTTTTAACTTCAACCGCCGAAACTCAAATTCAAAATCAGTTAGCGCGATTTTGGGAATTAGAGGAAATTGCCGAAAGGCAAATTTTATCAAAAGAAGAGATTGCCTGTGAACAGCATTTTCATAGTACTACTCGACGAGACTCCACGGGTAGATTTATAGTAGCCCTTCCTTTTAATGAACCCCCCGAAAAATTAGGTGATTCCTATCATAATGCACGAAAGCGATTTTTTAATTTAGAGAAAAAACTTAATTCAAATCCTAAAGTAAAGCAACTTTACACGGAATTCATACATGAATACATTAATCTTGGACACATGAAAAATATACAGGACCTTGATCCTCTTAATGCGCCTCACGAGCAATTTTATTTCATGCCTCATCATAGCGTTCTAAAGGAAAACTCATTAACTACGCGTCTCCGAGTTGTTTTTGATTGCTCAGCCGCTACGTCATCGGGCCTTTCTCTTAATGACCTACAAATGGCCGGTCCAACCCTGCAGGACGACTTACTGTCTATTTTATTAAGATTTAGATTGCATACATACGTAGTAAGTGCGGACATTGAGAAAATGTACCGCCAAATTTTGGTTCAGGAAAAACAACACACATTGCAATGCATTCTTTGGCGCGACTCTCCCTTAGAGCCACTAAAGGCTTTTAAACTGACAACCGTCACATATGGTATGAAATGTTCCTCATACCTCGCGATCAAATGTCTCCAAACATTAGGCTTAGATTACTCTAACGTTGATCTTAATATTTCGAATATCATACGCACTGACTTTTACGTAGACGATTTATTGACGGGTTTTGATTCGATAAAGGAGGCTCAAGAAGCATGTTATAAGATAACCGAGGCCCTAAAACAAGGCGGTTTCTGTTTAAGAAAGTTTTATTCTAACAACCCTGAGATTCTACAAAATATTTGTGGCGATCCAGGCACGTCTACAATTTTAAGTTTTGGTGAGGACGAAAATTGTAAAACACTAGGGCTGTCATGGTCGCCTCATCAGGATTTATTACTTTATAACATTAATCCCTCAGCGTTAGCAATAGAAAACGAAAAAATAACAAAGCGTCGCATTTTGTCTGATATTTCACAAGTGTTTGACCCGTTGGGTCTCCTCACCCCTTGTATAATTGCATTTAAAATAATACTTCAAAGTTTATGGCTTGAACACATTTCTTGGGACGATCCGGTTCCATCACACATTAAAACTTCATTTATTAATCTAAGACAAAGGCTACCAATTTTAAATAATCTTAAAATAGAACGCCTGGTAAAATTGCATAATTTTACAAACATTGAATTGCACGGTTTTTCGGACGCCAGCGAAAAGGCGTACGGAGGATGTATCTACATTGTTTCCACTGACAAAACCAATAAAACAAGTTCTCATTTAATATGCGCAAAGAGTAAGGTCGCCCCTTTAAAACCCACAACGATGCCCCGCTTGGAATTGTGTGGGGCCTTGGTCCTTTCAAGATTAGCTAAGAAGTTACTTAATTCCTCAAAAATTAAATTCAATAATTGCTATCTATGGACCGACTCTACCATAGTCTTGAGTTGGTTAAAAAAACCCGCAAATCAATTTAAAACATTTGTTAGTAATCGGGTACACGAAATACAAGAATCTATTTCCTTTGCACAATGGCGACACGTACCTACCTCGGACAATCCGGCCGATTTGTTATCCAGGGGCGTCTCACCTGAAAATTTAGTAGGGCTTAACCTTTGGTGGCATGGTCCCAAGTGGTTGTCTGGGTCTCATGAAAATTGGCCTGTTTTGGAACTGGCATTACCAAAAGAAATACCTGATACAAAAAAACAGGCAACATCGTCATTCGTTATACACACAAAGGGTGACTTATTTCCATTTAAAAACTTCTCAAATTTACTTAGGTTAAAAAGAACTGCTGCATACGTATTGAGATTCATAAACAATTGCAAGGTCAAAAGGGACCAACGTAACTTAGGGCCGCTGTTAGCCGAGGAAATTGATGAAGCATTTATTCACGTTTTAAAGACCGCACAAAGCGAAAGTTTTTACGATGAAATACAACAATTAACGAATAATTCCCCTGTTAAAAACTCAAGCAAATTAAAAAATTTATCTCCATTTGTTGACAGAGAAGGTATTCTTCGCGTGGGGGGTCGCTTGCAAAATTCTCAGTTTTCTTACGAAAAACGACATCCAAGTATAATTGCATCTAATCACCCGCTTACAAGGCTTATTTTTCATTATTTTCATTATCAAAAATTATTTCATGCCGGGCCGCAACACCTCTTAGCAGATATTCGAGAAAGTCATTGGCCAATAGGGGGAAGAGACCTAGCCCGCCGCACAGTTCATAATTGCACGGTTTGTTTTCGAGCTAAACCAAAAGGTATACAGCCCATTATGGGAAATTTACCCGCACAGCGACTATTGCCCGGACCACCATTTGTAGTAAGCGGCGTTGACTACGCAGGTCCGTACTTACTCCGAGACCGAAAGGGTCGCGGTTGTAAACTAATCAAAGGCTACATTTGCATATTTGTTTGTTTTAGTACTAAGGCGGTACATATTGAAGTTGTTACGGATTTATCCAAGGAAACATTTTTGTTAGCACTAAAACGATTTATGTCACGTAGGGGAAAACCCCGACAAATTTTCTCGGACAATGGTAAGAATTTTGTCTCTGCAAGTGCGGATTTTAAAGAACTTAGCTCATTTCTTAAATTAAATAAGTCTAGTATCGTTAATTCATTGTCTAAAGACGAGATAGAATGGAAATTCTCACCTCCTTATTCGCCACATTTTGGTGGTCTTTGGGAGGCAGGAGTTAAATTAATTAAACATCATCTCAAAAGAGTTATATCAAATGCACACCTTACTTATGAAGAATTTTATTCGTTATTAACCCAAATTGAGGCAATAATAAATTCGCGCCCATTGACGCCGCTGTCAGCCGATCCCAATGATTACACAGCTTTAACCCCAGCGCATTTTCTTATTGGTCGTCCAATAACCACAACAGGCGAAAAACAATTCACAAGCATCCCGATAAATCGACTTACACGCTATCAGCTGACACAACAGCTATCACAACATATGTGGGAACGCTGGAACAAAGAGTATATTTCCGAGTTACAGAAAAGAACCAAATGGGTATCTACTAAAGGAGATAAGGTTGACGAAGGCCACCTAGTTTTAATCAAAGAGGACAATTTGCCACCCATGAGGTGGAAACTTGGTCGCATCATTGAAGTGATTTGTGGTCGCGATGGTGTAGCACGTGTTTTTAAAATTAAAACTTCTAGTGGTGTCTTAACACGATCTTTTTCTAAAATATGTCCGTTGCCCTTAAACGACGACGTAGAGAATAATTAAAAGCAGTGAACAAACTAAATATATTGAACTCATGTAGACATAATATAAGTTAGTATTAGGTAGTTAGGCTTAAAATTTATATGTTCGATTATAGCATGTTTAAAATTAAAAGGCAGTCATTTTTACAAATTATATTTTACTTATACTTATATATTTACCGAATTTATAATGCACCAATTGAGATATTCTGCTACTTCATTTGCATTGTCATAATATGATATTATTAGATATTATCTATATGTAAAGGGTATTGCCATATCAATGTATTTTTCTTTGTTTTTTGTTTGTTTTTTTTGGCAATACTTGCCAAGGCCGGGGGCATGTTTACGCTTGGCCCATATATTATAAATTATCTGTTTAACAAGTGCATAATATTTACAAGTAAAAGCAATTACCAAGAAAAGGGAGAATCAATTCTGCTATGACATCTGGAAGATATTAGCCGTCAAGTGGCTGCAACGCCCTCCCCTTTTTGGGGTATTTTCTACTTAGACTTTAGTATTTTAACATTAAGATTTTAAACTTAGTCATATACACAACCATGTTAAAATAAAGTTTTGTTTTTTGTTAAACCATCTTTTAATCGCGCAACATACTCAACATACTCAACGCAACGAACATATTGCAATGAGTACAAAGGTAATAATTGTAGATTTTGTAATAAATGGTTCATTTATTAGTTTGTCCAATTCTTCCGAATATTGATTGAGCTTGTGATGAGCCATGTTTAAGTCTTCGGTATCTATCTTGTTTAACTTGAATGGCTTTATAGGAATTTTTCTTTTTGTGGAAGGATTTCACTACAGTCAATTGGAACTTGCACTGAGTAATATGTTACGTTTAGTAATTTTTCCAGTTGAAGTTTTGATTGGATTCGTGTATTTCCAATAAAAGCACTGCATCGGGAATTTAACTGTGTGTTTTGGTCGTCACATTTAATGGTAGGTCTTCGGAGACAGAAATAAGCCATTGCTTTTTATTAATTTCATTTACGTTGTAGTCTTCAGCCAGGATTATTAAAGTTATGCAATTATTGGGTAATTTCTTTTGAGCTTTAAATAGTTGAGCTTCGCAAATTGCGTTGTCGTCAATTGGATATGGCAGCATATTGAAACAAATTTGTTGAGTGGAAGAAAGTGTTTTACATTTTTCTAATTGCAAGTCTTGAATCGGCAAGTAAAATGTTGAATCATCATCTCTCGCGATATATTTTATTGTTGTTGGTAATATGTGAAGGAGACTTGTTCGATTATCTAATAGTGGTATTGGGTAAAGACGATAAAGGGTGTAGGTCTCTGGATGTTTAAGAGGGATGTTTAAGACAAAAACAATTCTGGAATCTATTTGGAATGCTTTTAAATCAATTATATCTTAATATTTTGCAATGTTTAACGGTGTTATTTCCATAGGTAAATTATTTCTATTTAGTGACCGGGAAATTTTACTAAGTGATTTCATTAAATCTGAAGGTGTTATTATTGTATTATGAAGTATTTTCAATCGAGCAAATGAGATGAAGTCCAAAATATCGTCTAGAGTGTCCTTTATAAAAATATAACTTTCCATTAGTGACTCGCTTATGTCTAAAAGTTTGACTTGTGAAGTACCCGGTATATTAAAATTTGGGTAAATACCCAAGGTATGTACCCAATGGGTAAATTCGGGGTGTATTCAATTTGGTATTAACCATATACCCGGTATATACCGGTATATGCATACAAAGTAGCAATACTTTGGTATTTACCATGGTAAATACCAAAGTATTGCTACTTTGTTAATTTAAGGTACTTTAACAAATTAAATTAGGTCATTTAAGAATAAAAAGTATTTAAATAAATCGAAATAAAACGAAAAATAATGTACACATGTTAAAAAATACATTTTAATTAAAACAAAAAAATTACAAAAAACAAGTTAAACTAAACAAAAATATTTATTATAAATTGTAATGCTTTATGCATTATTTTAAAATTAAAAAATATTTGTATAAAAATTATTTGTAATTTTCGCCTGGGTATATCAGGATTATATATACATTCGTAGAAGCACTTTTAAATTTTTAAATTATTGCCGTGCCCGAATTATTTTGTCGCGTGCCATTGGTTCGCCAAGACGATTTTATTCAAATTTTATAAGTTTGAAAATGGGGTGGTGCTTTAATTTTGTTCATCAATTATTATATAAAACAATCTGTTAATTAGGTCGGAAAATCATTGTGTTCATCGATTCTGGACTTGACAGGCGACAATCCGATGTCCAGAATTTGCAATTCCGAATTTCGATCTTTAAGCGGCTTGCGCAACTGGTTGGCGATCCAGTACCATCAAGAAATGTTGGATAAACGCCACAAGCCAAAAATGACAAGAAAAACGTGTAGCCTACAAAATCAGGTAGGCTTTAATGATGACTATATTCAAACGTGCAATCTCACATAATTTTTTTTACATTTTGTTGCCATGTTATTTTTTATTTCTATTGTATATTGAGTTCAGTGTTCACTTGTGCATTTATTATACACAATTTTGTTTGTATATTTATGTGTTCTAACTATTATTTTTATTATGTTATTAAAGCTTACTTTTAATTGTCATTTATTTAATTTTTTCATTCAATTTAATTTCAAAACACTGGGCAGTATTTTTATACTTCCTTGAGTTTTCCGAGTATGCTTAAAGCATGTTTCTTTTTCAATAAATTAACAAAATATAATATAATTTATAATTATATACGAAAGGAGTTGAGATTGAGAAGTAATTCCAAAAATCCAAATTCATTTATTTTAATTTTGATATATAGCCTATTAGTTTTTAGTTTTTTTCCATCAAACAATACCCATAAAAGAAAAGGCTCCAAACTTGTATTGCATCCTTTATGTTTCTACTAATTTTTTTTTATTAAAAAACATTTTGTTTTATAACTTTTTGGTATCTTAAATTGTTTTGGTAATTTAGATTTAGATACATTACATGGTTTTACAGAGACAATTTATGTTAGTCTGTTTACTAAAATAAAGTTAAATGCAATTGATTTTTTTTATCGATAAACATTTGCATTGATTGTTTTTTAAAAATTATGGTGCATTTTTTAAAAGGGTAGATCTTTATGATCTGTTTTTTTTTGTAGTAAAAAGCAAAATATTTCTACAAAATCCAAGACCTACTATGTTAGATTTTGGGAGTAAATTTTTAAGAATTCATGGATTATCGAAAGATTATTCAATATTATTTAAAACTCATTAATTAAAAAAATGTAAAAACTATTAAGGTTCATTTGTTACTATGTAACGCCCAAAGCCTTTCACCTTTACCGTTCAGGTTACCGTTCCCGTTCTACTTACCGGGCTGTTGTGCAGCGGGCTTAACGTGTTGTGTTTTGAATTGAAGTATTAAAAAAACTGAACCGATCATAATCTCTAAGCTAAAATGTTTGTTTTGTGTGTTTTAAGTACATTGATGGTTTGTTCTGCGTTGGGTTGTAAAATAAAATATATATTATAATGACGGGAATAAATAATTAATGCAAATGTTTATTTATTTAAAAAAAAATGTCAATTTTAATAAACCTAATTTTAGTAGAATACATACATATAAAATGTCTTTTTAAAACAATAGTAGACCTGTGACAAAATACTAAAGTGTTTTCGCGTGTTCAATTAAACTTTTTTCCGCCGTCTACTTATATACTTTAAAACTTTACTACAAATTATAATTTTTTGGTCTCTTGCCTTTTTTGAATATACAGTATAACCTATAGGATGGGGCTTACTTTAGCCAAGTCAAATTTTTGTTATTTCAGGTGTTGCGTAAAAGATTTAAAAAAAAAATAAACGAGACAACCCCTAGTGACTTACCTTGCTTATTTTCAGACGGAGTGGACTGTAATTCTGGTTCTTTATAAATTGCCTTTGAAATAAGGAGCACCACCACACAATTTTCTTGCCGGTCGAGAAGCGTCGAATTTTTAGCTATGCGCGTTATTCGGTGATTCTTGCACGTGTGTGTACACAATTGTCTCTATGAGGCGTTATTGCCACCAGGGGTGTAATTATCGCGAAAAATCATAAATTAAACAAATTAATCATTGAATTAAGGCAACACAAATTGCACATAAATCTAAATATACATTTAATAAAATTAAACTAAAAAATATTACATTAATATAGTGTTGAAGAAAACCCAACACCCGGCCTAAAAAGTGATCAAGACATATAACAAAAATTGTGTGTAAAATTTTAGCGAAATTGATTAACAATAACAGGTTCCGCAGAACACTTAAAATGTTTTCACATAAGAAGGTCTAAGAGGGAATCTTGGAGGACGCTCTGCGATAACGTAAACGAGCTTCCAGCAGCGGCCAAGCTTCAAAAGATTCTCTCAAAGGATCCAGGACGAGAGCTGAGGTCATTAAGGCCTTCCTCCGGTGACTACACCGCCAGCGCGGAGGGGGCACTTAAACGGCTCCTGGAAACCCACTTTCCGGGCTCAGAAATCCTGCAAACTGTCGAACCACCAAAGCAAACTCCACCATCTGGCGTAAGGCCAACTGACTGGAAGATAGCTGCAAAGGTAGTGACAAAAAAAACTCCACTCATTTGGATCTTTTAAAAGCGCGGGACCAGATGGCATCTCTTACAAAAGGGGCTAAAACAACTGACCCCGCACTTGATACGCCTCTTCAGAACCTGCCTTGCACGGGGCTACGTGCCACAATCCTGGCGAAAGGTTCGGGTGGTGTTAATCCCCAAGCCAGGACGTTGTAACTACGAGACGGCAAAGGACTATAGACCCATCAGTCTATCCTCATTTCTTTTAAAAACTATGGAGAAAGTGGTGGACATATTTATTGAGGATTGGGCACTAAAAAGAATGCTCATGCATCCTAAACAATATGCCTACAGGACAGCTATGTCGACGGAGACCGCTCTTCAAAACCTTGTGACAAGACTGGAGGGATAGCTCTGGGCACGTTTCTAGATATCGAGGAAGCATTTACAATACCACCTTCGAGTAGATAAGGGGGCTTTGGCATAGAGAACACCATTGTCAAATGGATCCGTGTCATGCTTGAAAGCAGGATCATTACAAGCTCGATTGGAACTATTGAGATCAGCTCAACCGTAGCCAGAGGTGTACTATCGCCCTTGCTGAGGTGCCTAGTGCTGGATGGGCTACTTCACATCCTAAACGAGGAAGGTACTGTCCGTTCAGGCTAAGTTAGGCGGTCTAAGGAATGTCACCCGGTCCATCATCTCTATGTTCAGGCACAATTAAATACATGTATTTGGGTAGCCGCTCTGTTCGAACAAACAGCAAGCCGCGGCTTTGATAAATCATCTTCTTGTTACCGAAATCTCGCGACGATTCGATATTTAATTTAATCAACGGCCACATGATTCCCCACCACAGCGCCCAACTTAGCCTGAACGGACAGTATATACACTATTAAAGAGATCATGCAAAGAGCTCTTAATAAAGTCGAAAGGTGGTGCAACGATCACGGACTCTCCGTCAATCCGGACCGAAGTGGTAGCATTCACCAACCGTAGGAACGTGAACCTACAATGGCTCATGCTCTTCAGAACAAGACTAACGCTATCCAAATCAGTTAAATATCTGGGGGTCATCATTGACTCTGGATTGACCTGGAAGTATCACGTGAACAGGGTCGTGGGTATGTAGAAGGACCTTTTGACGCACCCGGGGCTTAAAACACACTGGCTTTACACAACAGTTATAAGGTCAATGATCACATAGGGCAGAACAAGCTCCAAAAATGCATGGGCATATCTGGGGCTTTTAGAACCACTCCAACACTGGCAATGGAGGCTTTACTGGGACAACACCTTTTTTTGTGGCACAGACCCGGGAAGCTTCGGTCAGACTCAACGATTGGGGACAATGGGCTCACAGGGAGGAAAACTCAGGGCATGCAAGGGCCTCGACTGATACTATTAACCGGGACCCCCTTCTAACAAGAAGGGATAAAGATAAAGATGAATAAGCCTTGCACTAGGCCGATATATACCGGTATACCAGACTGAAATCTCTGCCATTCTGATCTGCGGCCAAGAGAATCTCCAAAGATCTTACTCGGTTAAACATATCTACATATGTAGCGACAGTCAAGCAGCACTTCGGGCTCTTTACTCGAGGCTTACACTGGATTGCATAAAAAACCCTAGAATTACTCAGGTCACCCTTGTCTTGTTACCGGGTCATCGAGGTATCAAAGTCAACGAGGAAGCAGACCAGCTGGTTCGTGACGGCAGTAATACTGCCTTTATAGGGCCGGAACCTGCTATAGCGGTCGCGTCCTGTCTGGTAAAATCCAAGATCAGGAACAACAAGGCCTCAGACAGTCAAGGGTCTTTATAAAAGGTCCTACAAACTGTAAAGAGGCAAAAAGATTCCTTAAACTTAACAGGAACCAGTTAAGGGCCATCACAGGAGTCCTGACTGGACAATAGATAGTCAAATACCACCTACACAAAACCGGACTGAGCAACGAGATGAATTGCACATGCGTGTTTCCATACCAGCTGATGGTGAAATTTCACAACCCAAACTCAACAACCGAACCGACCCCGCTCCAACCCTCGCCCCCGCCCCATTGAGCGCGAGATTGAGTGACCATAAAATAATGGAAAAGTGCACTTATCATACTTAATTTGTACCGTAAATAAATTAATACCAATATACTTACTAAAATCTTCCTAAAGAACAATCACATAACATTGCTGACATCTCCAAGAAATATTGTTTTTATTATTTCGTTTTTTGCCTTCCCACGCTCTGACTTGACAAAATTTAAAGGCATTTTTGGCAACAATTATAAATAATTGTAATGAAATATATAAATTCATACACGTAACCTCTAAAACGATAAGTATTCAATTAACTCAAATGTTATTAAGAATGTCAATGATACAGAAATAATCCTATTAAAAATGCCATATAGAAACACAAAATAAAAATCTATCTGGTTCAATATAGGAATTTGAAACAGGCATTGGACTATTGAACCAGATAGAATTCCATACCTGGAAAACCATATAGAAAAGTGATTTCTATATGGATTGCCATATAGGTTCCTATTACTCTATCTGGCCCAATATGGTTTGGGTGTGAAAAAATTACCATATAGATCCATATTTAACCATATAGGGGAATCTATATGGTTTAATATGCAATTTTCGTTTAAATATATATATACACAGTTTAAAATGGAATTCCATATTCAACCATATAGGGAAACCTATATGGAAAGACACATAAAACAGAAACCAGATAAATCCATATAAAAATCCCTAAGTTGTGCATTTTAAAATGAAATTCCATATTCAACCATATAGATTCCAAAGTTTAAACCAGGTCGTTCCATATAGGACATATAGAACCATATAAATCCATATTAGTTTCCTTATCTGGATCAATATGGGTTCTATAGGGCATTTTTAATAGGGAAGGACCAACAAAATGAACTACTCGTTGATGACAACAGATGGCATTAAACGTAAATGCTGAAATAGCGTGAAATTTATAATCATCGTTACTGTGATGACATTTGACAAAAAAACTAGAATCTTTGCGGGGATAAATTGTCCTGGGCCCAAAATGCAATGAGCCAAATGAATTGTCAGAGGATGAATTGTCGCATGTATGAATTGTCAGGGATGAATTGTCTTGGGTCCAAAATGCGTCACACCGTCAATAGCAGACTAAGACACCTCGGGGACAGGTATCTGGACAGAGGAAATAATGCCGAGATAAATCAATGTATTTTTTACAGCCTTCCATTTAAACTTTTCTTAAAAGTATAACCATTAATAAAAAATTATCAATCTTCGCACAGTACAATACAAGTAGGTAAGAAGTATCAAAATCCATTTTTTCCAAATTTTTAAGTCGTAATTACCCCATTGAGATTTTTTTTTCAATATCTCGAAAATATTTATAATATTCATACTTAAGGTATGATTTTAAAAATTTGAAAAAAATGGTTTTTGTAGTAGGATATCAAACTTAAATTGTGCGAAGTTTGATACTTTTTTATTAATTATCATACTTTTGAAGTGTAAATGCAAGGGTGAAGAACAATCACATAACATTGCTGACATATCCAAGAAATATTGTTTTTATTATTTCGTTTTTTGCCTTCCCACGCTCTGACTTGACAAAATTTAAAGGCATTTTTGGCAACAATTATAAATAATTGTAATGAAATATATAAATTCATACACGTAACCTCTAAAACGATAAGTATTCAATTAACTCAAATGTTATTAAGAATGTCAATGATACAGAAATAACCCTATTAAAAATGCCATATAGAAACACAAAATAAAAATCTATCTGGTTCAATATAGAAATTTGAAACAGGCATTGCACTATTGAACCAGATAGAATTCCATACCTGGAAAACCATATAGAAAAGTGATTTCTATATGGATTGCCATATAGGTTCCTATTACTCTATCTGGCCCAATATGGTTTGGGTGTGAAAAAATTACCATATAGGTCCATATTTAACCATATAGGGGAATCTATATGGTTTAATATGCAATTTTCGTTTAAATATACACAGTTTAAAATGGAATTCCATATTCAACCATATAGGGAAACCTATATGGAAAGACACATAAAACAGAAACCAGATAAATCCATATAAAAATCCCTAAGTTGTGCATTTTAAAATGAAATTCCATATTCAACCATATAGATTCCAAAGTTTAAACCAGGTCGTTCCATATAGGACATATAGAACCATATAAATCCATATTAGTTTCCTTATCTGGATCAATATGGGTTCTATAGGGCATTTTTAATAGGGAAGGACCAACAAAATGAACTACTCGTTGATGACAACAGATGGCATTAAACGTAAATGCTGAAATAGCGTGAAATTTATAATCATCGTTACTGTGATGACATTTGACAAAAAAACTAGAATCTTTGCGGGGATAAATTGTCCTGGGCCCAAAATGCAATGAGCCAAATGAATTGTCAGAGGATGAATTGTCAGGGATGAAATGTCTTGGGCCCAAAATGCGTCACACCGTCAATAGCAGACTAAGACACCTCGGGGACAGGTATCTGGACAGAGGAAATAATGCCGAGACAAATCAATGTATTTTTTACAGCCTTCCATTTAAACTTTTCTTAAAAGTATAACCATTAATAAAAAATTATCAATCTTCGCACAGTACAATACAAGTAGGTACGATAAGAAGTATCAAAATCCATTTTTTCCAAATTTTTAAGTCGTAATTACCCCATTAAGATTTTTTTTTCAATATCTCGAAAATATTTAAAATATTCATACTTAAGGTATGATTTTAAAAATTTGAAAAAAATTGTTTTTGTAGTAGGATATCAAACTTAAACTGTGCGAAGTTTGATACTTTTTTATTAATTATCATACTTTTGAAGTGTAAATGCAAGGGTGTAAAAAAATACAAGTATTTCAAATTGAAAATTTCAAGTGGTCTGTAGGACGTGTTAATGTTTATCGATTTCGCTAAAGTTTTACAAAAAATTAATTTTATAGGTCTTAATTATTTTTTAGGTCGGGAACGGAAAAAATCCAACATTGCATTCATTTTTATTGTTAAAAACAAGACAAATTATCTTTTGTCCTTTATTACTTAATATCGCACATTCCAAAAAATGTAAGAGACCAAAAAATTATAATACGTAGAAAAGTAAAGTACAAAACACAGTACCACCCTAAAATATAGTCCCAAAAACGGTACATTTTTTTGATATACTGTAGGGTGTTTTTTGCTAAAATAACACAGGAAAATGATTTTTTTTTCATTATTTCTTCCTATATATTTTTTTCATGTTACTCACAGACGATTATTTAGGATTCTCAAAAAAATTCAAATAAGTTTCGCTTATTAACCCTTATGCAGGCGCACCTCTTTATGCAACGTAGTAGGTCGCGCGGGGTGTCAGAGACACCCCTGATGGCAAAGCGACCCTGAGTGTTATTTACATTTTTTTTGTTTTTTTTCAAAGTTATCAAGTTAAGATAAGCTTAGAGACAATGAGAACATATTTCGTTGCGTTCAAATTTGATAAAAGATGACAAAAAAAAAGAAAATGTCAAAAGACGACAATTTTAATAAAATAAAGCATGTATTTAAAAAATACTAATTTTAAAAGTCATAATAATAATAAAAACCAAAAAAAAACACTAAGCACATAAGATAAGGTTTACTTTTACAAGTAATTATGAATTGGTAAAGAAAAGTCAATAGGGAGGCGAAACCCAGCCTGCTCAAAGTCACTCAATTTCGATACTAGAATTTACTATGGAATCAAAGCCCTCTTTACAAACATTTTTCCTGTGCTTCATGCACATGTTTTTGGCACACCTTCTACTTTTTGCAACAAGGCATGCCTTGGACAAATTACACATCTGCCCTTCTTTACCGGCAACTGATAACTTGAAAATTATTGGGCGGAGAAATTTTGGCAAATTTTTATTTGTTGTTTACATAAAATATTAGAACGAACGGAAACAAGCAAAATATAACGCAATGCTTTCAAGATAAAAATAAATATTTTGTCGTGTGTTCCAATTACTTTTTTACAGGGTATAACCTTATTTAATGTGAAGTAATAACAAAAGTTGAAAAAATCAGCTTAAGAAATTAATGCAAAATAATTGTACGTGGAAAGGCGCACGGGGTGTTCACAGCACCCAGAGCCTGTTTGAAACAAAATATCAGACAACCTATTACATTAACTTCGAAATCGGCAATATAATATGACTGATAATACTTTGACAGGAAGGTACTGAAAGTAAGCGCCATTTATTCGAAACGAAGTGAGACCGGTAGCTATATTTAGGAAGCTGGGGTGTTTTGTACACCCCGCGTGCCTGCTTAAGGGTTAAAATAATAAAATTAACTTTACTTTCTATTGCAATTTATTAACAAATCATAGCACACTAGATTTCGATAGAGAATTCAGCAACTTTCCTCTTTTCGTATTAATAACACCCTTTAGTCTTACTAAATAGATTTACGTTTATTTTTTAAAGACTTGTGCCTTTCGTTAAAAATTTAACAGAAACATTTTCTAAGCATATTTTAAATGTTGTGACCCAGTCTAATTTTCCCCATTCAACAAAATTTGAATTTGTACGAAAACGATTCTTCTATAAAAAAAACTTTTTATGTAAGACAACTTTAAATTAACATCCTGCTTGTTTACATATAAATATCGCAATTGAAAAATCTTGATCAACCAAATTAGGATATTTAGTATCATATCATTTAATTTAAAAGCCAAGGGTATAAATCTTAAACTGTTATGTCCAGTATATTTAGACAAAATTTTCTGGTAAGACCATTATTGCTTTAGGGTAAATCGAAGTTGAGACCTCCATTGGCAAAAACAGTAGCAAAGAAAGTAATATCAAAGGCGAGAAATCCAATCCTGCCAATCGAACGCAAAGAAAACATTTTAGCTCAACCAAGTACCTCATTTAGTTCAAATAATAAGCAGTCGTTGCGACAAAATAAATTTGGATTAAAGTCAAAATCACGAAAAGACTTGACTTTGAAGTCGAAAAATGCTTCTAGCGAAAAATTAAAAGCGACCACGATGCGTCAAAAATCAAAGTCTGCAAACGCAAAGTTGACAGGTATCGAAGAGGATGATAAAAGTAAGGGAGACATGCAAATTCGCGAAATTTGTTTTATTAAGAATAACGAAGGTAAGACATTAATAGCGAAATACAAAAAAGCCAATAAGGAGGATCCAGAGGAAAACTTGGTTGTGACGTGGGGACCTTCTACAAATGCCACTATTTACACACAAAAAGGTAAGATAAACGCAAGTAAGTTTGGTGCTTCCCAAAGTTGCGAGCCAGGCACAAGCAAACAACAGGGTCCAGTGCGAATACACAATTTTGCTAAATCACCATCGTTTTTTAAATCAAAAAAGCACAGTCTTAGGCGATTAAGTGGAGCCGAATCTTTAACCAAAATAGAGAAAAAGAAGAAGAAAAAGATGAAATCTAAATAAATTTTTTGTACATTTTTCAAGTGATATTTTTGTGATTTCAGTACAAATGTTTTTAAAAAATGTAATATTTGTACATTAAAAAAATTTGTAAGTGACTATGACTAAATTATTCAAATATTGTTTTTATTTATTAGGTGGTAATATAAATAAAAAGAATATACACTGGGGTGGAACAAAAGAAATTTATGTTACATTGTTTTTTTAACTGGTACCTTTTTTGTTTGTTTTTTGTTGTTGAAAAATACCTAAAATTAATAAACTACCAAAATCGCTGTACAAGTATATAAAAACTGGTTTGATAATAAAATAAGAGTTTTAGCTAGACGTTCTGTATTAAATATTATACGAGGGTGGGTCAGTAGTTTCTCACTAAATCAAAGATATGGCCGGAGTAGTACCAAAACAAGGATGTCCCTAATGGGTACAGTCTTTTAATAGATTGCTGACAAAATTTCAGTCATATTCATCACAGGTTTCCTTTTTACGATCGATTTAAACAAACAACTTTTGATATTTTTGGATTGATTTAACCCTTTTATTTGAGGTATTGCTTTTATTTGACAAGTATTACAAGTTCGTGTGCTGAGATGCACACAGGTAGGTAACTTAAGCTGATGCAAAGCAAAAAAATAGTAAATAGTATTTGTAGGTAACCTTTGGACAACCTTAACTCCTTGTCGTTTATTTTAAAAACTCTTTAAAACCTATTTTTAAATAGTTTTATTACTATAAAAACCAAAGATTAAATTTAAACTTTGTAAAAACTACAAATTCAAAAATAACTCCAAATGGTAACTTATTAAGTTAAACTTAAGCTAATGCAAAGCAATAAAGAAAATAGCATTTATAGGTCAACTTTGGACAACCATAACTCCTTGTATTTTATTTTAAAAACTCTTTAAAATCTATTTTAAATAGTTTTATTAATATAAAAACCATGAGTTATGATCTTTTATAATCACAAAAACCTTTTCAGTTACTACAGGGTTACCTACTTGTTTCCACAAATTGTAAAGTTTCGTAAACTCTCTAAGACTCATTTATTTCTAATAAAAGATATTTAAATAAACTTGGTATAACCATAACCAAATAAGTATTGTTAATTTAAATCAGGGTTGTGAACCGGTCGAAGAACCGCTTGTTTGTTACGAATCGGTCCGTAACGAAAATAAACAAATAAATCTAGACCGGTCCATATGGACCGTCCCGTTTTTTAAATTCTTCAAATGCTTTGAACCGCTCAAAACATTTTATATTATTGTTTTTATTCTTTTTTATTATTTTGTTAGTTTTTTTCAAACAATCAAATTTAAAAAAATTTTTATTGCGTCGTTGCTAAGAAATTAAATATTTTCATTTGTAAGGCAAAACTCGAATGAAAACTGAAGTTTCTGTTTCACGGTCTTATATACAGGTCTTGCAACTTCGCCCAATTTCAATAGGAAAAGTGACCTCTCTAATGAGACACCCACCAGATGGCGCATCGAGTTGGATGGATAAACCATAGATGTTTAAAGGTCGTTTTTACCTTCTTTATCTTTGGGTTTTACAATCGTTAGATAAGCTCTCTGGTGGATAATTTTCTTAGATAGAAGGTTTCTATGAAAGTTATCCGCCAAATAAGCTAACTTAATCTAAGTCCTTAAAGTCTATGGGATAAAAGGTCAAATGAACTACCTACTTATGTTCTGTGAAGAAACATAACCTACATTTTTATAAACGGACCGGTTCAGTCGAACCTTTTTTTGCTGGACTGGTCCAACAACAAGGACCGAAATTTTGTTACGGTTCACAACCCTGATTTAAATTATAAATATCGTTTTAAAAATATTTTCGCTATTTTGTATCTAAAGTAAAAATTTTTTTTTATATTTTGTATCTTACGTATGATTTATAATATTCCCCCGCTCTCTTCATCAGCAAAAGTAAGAGCAAATTTAATCATCCTGTCCCTAAGCCTGCTTAAATAACACTTGAACGCCTCCAAAGGCAAAACAAAAAAAATCAAATCCAAGTTTGATATAAACTGCGCACCACTCAATGTGTCGCGACAAAAAAGTTCATCCTTTTTCAAAACGACATAACTTTTTTGTTTCTTGAACGATTTTATTTTGGTCTGTGATGTCTGCTAATTCCATCCTCTGGCAATTCATGCTATAGATATTAAGCCCACCGTTCTTGAAGTAAATTTCCTACAGGGTGATATGTAAAAGGGTGAAAAATTTCAGTAACTTCATCCAAGCCCCGTTTGTTAAAAAAAATTTTTTTTTTCGTTTTTACTTTGAAATAATGAAGTATTATGTGTTACCTTGAATCGTTTTTCAAATTTTTCGAATTGGAATCTTAGCAACGAAAATATGATATTTTTTCCAAAAGAGTACATTTAAGGCTTTTTGGTAGGCAATACACTCAGTCTTTTTAAGAACAAGAAAATAAGATGTTGAAAGATTATTCCTTGAATAATTCTGAACAAGCGATAAGCAACAAACTTAAAACATTATATTCAGAGGGGCCTAAGCAAAAACCACTTTTTCAAAATGACATTTTGGTGAAAATTTGCGAAAACTAAATTTGAACCGATATTTACGTTCGTGACATGTTTTCTTTATAATTTTGACCTCCTGATTGTGATTCAGTTGTCAAATTTAAGTTTCAGATATAACCAAAATCACCAAGAATCAAAATTCGAAAGCAATTCCCTTCTGTTAAATGTCTTAATAAAATCCGATTGATGGCGTGTTTCTTGCATATTTATGATGAAAATGCCATATGGGGATTCATTTTTTGGGCGAAATTACTGCAATTTGTTTGAGTGGTTAGGATAATGTTACATACACATACACATTTACATTTACATTGCGCAGTAGTGATAACATCATTGATAAGTACCTACCTATTGGTAATAAAGTTAAATAAAAATATTTTTGAAAATTTTATGCGTAGATATAATCATAATCAAAACTTCTACAATCAACAGAAAAATGTAACAAACAATAATAACTTTCAATATTTCGTTGGCCCTCCCCTAACCCGTAATAATTCGTTAACCCTCCTGGGCATTCCCTCGACCAAGTTCCTTAGAAATTCCTGGGGTACCCCATTCTTCCTGAATAGCATTTACCAATTCATCCAAATTTTCCATGCGTCCTTCTTTCAAATTCAATTTCATCCTGCTCCACACATGCTCTATAGGATTTATATCCGGAGACAAAGGTGGCCAATTCAATCTCTCAATTTGGCGGGCATTGTCGTCCACCAACACCAATTATTGTCAACATTTTAAGCATAAGGGACCACGATATCAATAACAACTAAATCTCTAAAGTAACCTGGGTAAGATAGAGATAGGTATGTAGGTAGGTAGGTATAACTTATGCAAAAAAAACTTCGAAATTTGGAAAAACACAAGGAAACTGAAAAAATCAAGAATATCCCTCATAATGCGTTTTGAATGTTTTTCAAGAACTAATTTTCATCATTTGATCCTCGATTTGATCATTCAGCGACATGATAATAACGTACTTGCTTTCGAATCTTGATTTTGGTTTTATCTGAAACTTAAATTTGACAACTGAATCACAATCAGGAGGTTAAAATTATGAAGAAAACATATTACGAACGTAAATATCGGTTTAGGTTTAGTTTTTGCAAACTTTCACAAAAATGTCATTTTCAAAAAGTGGTCTTAGCTTAAGCCGTCTGAAAATAATGGAAGTTTGTTGCTTGCCGCTTGTTCAGAATTATTTAAGGAACAATCTTTTACCATCTTATCTTCTTGTTCCTAAAAAGACTGAGTGTATTGCCTACAAAAAAGCCTTAAATGTACTCTTTTGGGAAAAAAATCATATTTTCGTTGCTAAGATTCCAATTCGAAAAATTTGAAAAACGTTTCAAGGTAACACATAATACTTCATTATTTCAAAGTAAAAACCAAAAAAAAAAATATTTTTTTACAAACGGGGCTTGGATGAAGTTATTGAAATTTTTCACCGGTTAACATATCACCCTGTAGGAAATTTACTTGAAGAACGGTGGGCTTAATATCTACAGCATGAATTGCCAGAGGATGAGGCTAACAAACATCACAGACCAAAATAAAATCGTTCAAGAAACAAAAAAGTTATGTCGTTTTGAACTTTTTAGTCGCGACACATTGAGTGGTGCGCAGTTTAGTTTATGAACATCTACACTACCACTTAAAACTGTTTAAAATTGGTTCAGTGGAGGTAACTACGTCAAAAATGATAAACAAAATCCACAATATGGTCTTTGGTCTTAATTTTGAACAAAAAAATGGATATGAAAAAGATATCGGAAATATGGAAATATGGCTGCCGTATTTTGTTCACATTGGAGAATGAATATAAACCTGAACACAGTAAAAGTGCATTAATTGCTCTTACTAGATTTTTTCATCAGTTACTTTTTCTTATCCGAACATGCAAAAGCTTTTGTACTAGTGGGTCGCCAGAAAAAGAATTACGTCGAACGAGGAGGTTATTTCCGAAACAGATACCATTTTTAAGGCCTTTCGGAATCTTATTTTGGCATTGGTCTTTCCTTTGGAAAAGGTCTTATCATTTCGGGAGTAAGTTTTATGCCCTGCTTAAAATACCCCATAGAGACCTATATAAAATAATCTATCGGGCGCTACCGGATTCAATATGTGCATTTGTTCATGGTTTTTTCCGGATACGGCCCGATAGAAAATTTATAGGAAATTACCTATAGGCACACCATAACTTTTACATTTTCCCTATTGAGACCGATAGCAAATAACTCAATGAAGGTTATATAGGGATATCCCTATAGAACAACCATAAAACATTAGACGAAATTTTATTAAAACCTATGGGGTCCTATGGGAGAAAAACTAATTTCTACATTTATGTGTAATAGCAAATAAATCAAGGGTGGATACAGGTCCTATACAAACCGATACACCCTATAGAAACACCATACATTCCGATACAAATATCTATCGGTTTAAACAGGGTCTCTATGGGATATTTTAAGCAGGGTGTTGCTTAATATTGTAATTTTTGGTTTAATCAGAGCTGCTGTCACTACATGAGGCAACGCAATATTGGGTTCATTCTTTGGTATAAATCTTGGTTCGTTTAGCGACATTCTCTCATACACTTCAACGCCACT